TTAATTACCAGCCATGTCAACTGTATCACCACAAATGGAAGGCATATTGCCCAACTATACTGTATATGTGGTATTTTTAATTTTTACTCATTAAATTTCTGAAAGCTTCAGTAATTCATACATATACCTGTTCACAAATAAAATATAAAGTATAAATAGTTAATCAGAAATTTATATTACTAAAATACAATATAAAAGATTACCATTACATATAAATCTATAACTTTCCCGGTTTTCACAAATTACGTGTAAGGAGAGAATCATGTGGAAAGTTTCAAGTTGTATAATTCATACAACTTCCAAACGAAATTTTAAATAACTACCGTGAGGAAAACATCATTTCTCTTCAAGAGACTTTGAACTATAACGAAACAACAAAACGTAAAAGAATGTTGAACGAATAATCGACTTGTGACATCGGCTCGCACAAAACTAACGCGTAGCGGATCAATTAGACGTCACTTCACGTACGCTGGTAGAGGATTCCAGTATGGAATTACTGTTTAATCTGGCTACGACACGCGAAATACGTTTCGCACTGCACATTATACATAGAACCGTCCATTTCTTCTAGAACACACAAATCCGGAGTCGAGGTCGTACTGCACAACTCACATAAAGTATTTCCCTGCTGGTTCACAGATGGCAGAAAGATCACTCCGCTCCGCCGGTATAAAAATAGAAACTCTCAAGATAGAACGGATTATAATAAAAATAAAATGATAATTATGATTAAGGCTCAGCACCGTAGAAGTAGAAGTATCGAACGCGAAAAATGGTTAACTGCGTCGAAACGCAATTTTTGAAGCAAGTAGAAGCAGGCGAAGAGTAATCAGACTAACCTTAAGTTAGCCTAAGAAACAACGTATTCTTTCAACTACGCCTAAATCCATAAAACGAGATGTATTTAATCTTCCCTCGTACGAACTTTTATTACTATTCACTTTATCTCATTTGTTGATAAGAAATAACCTCGAGGGCAACGATAGAAGGAGCACTTAACGATCGATGACTTTTCTAGATTTGCACTCACAATTTCACTTTCATGCAAATATGCATATTGAAAACAAGAGTCTAATTAATTTGCATGTCGACCAAAACACGGTTTTCGTAGCTGTTGTTTCCACGATATTAAATTAATTAACCTTCGAGTGTACTTCAATGGTAACGCATGGTCATCGTTCACGAGCTCTCTATACACCGTAGAGTTACAACATACGACACTGGATAGCCCCGAACGCTACTACCGCAAAACACTTTTGTGGACCGACCTTTTGCACGGGAAACATATCGTACAAAGAGGTTCCACGGTACGTAAAAGGCGGATAATGAGTTTGTAGGTCATTCGGATTCGATTGCACTGAATGCTACAGTACGGAGCACCGTGGAAACGTACCAATGAACTCCACACGAGCAGGATGTCAGGAACACAAGGAGCAATTATGGCATGTGTAGATTGTCGGAAGCTACGACTTTTCTACACACATGCTTATAACTGTTAAATAGAATAAGAGATGTCAATTCCGCTCCTTTATTCGTTGGCCTAGCTCTGTCCATCATGTTTCGCGATCTATCTGATGTAGCAAACGCTACTTCAGCATGATAAAAATAAACTTCCTGTATCATTATTCTGTCACGTACGTCATTATGTAATTGTATAGGTCATGAATATGTAAATGCACTGTTGCATGCGCCATAGACTACCAATCGTGAAGAATTAATATTAAACGTAATGAATGAAATTTAATAAAGTCTATGAATCGATTTGTTCTAATGTTAGTACATATTATTATATGATCTGTGAGCAATAAAGAGTGTGAAATTAATATAGAAAACTGAAAAGCCCGATAATTGGTTAACTGTACAAGTTCCTCAATAGATTATATCAACTTACTTTCTCCACAGAAAATCAATATCCTCCTGTAAAGTGTAAAGCCGCAAAAACTACGCGATCTTGCCACTGAACAGACGGTTACGTGACGCGTATTGGAAACTACGAGTAACTACAATCGCGACGGAAAGGGTCCGAAAGGTGAACATGATTCGTATGTACGCGGTTTACGAGTGCGTGAAGAATAGTGGGGTGCACTGATGCGCGGAGCGGCCACTCCGCAGCGCTCCCCTTTCAATGGGAACACAGGATAGACAAGGAGGTACAAGCTACTCAACTATCACTGATAGTTTACCTACTCGACTTCCTACAATTCGCGTATTCAACTTCGCTCCGTGAGTGAGAGCGCAGAATACGAGGAGGTTATACAGTCTCGGAAGATCAAGACTAATAGAACTCCTTACATTTCATGTAATCACAGTACAGGGGGACCCCAAGAACTGGCCTGCCCCACGATCGACCGACAACACGTCATTTCTCGGGACCGAGAAACACCAACATCTTCTCGCTCTGTTTAATCGACCTTCGTTACGCGCTGCTTGTTGGAAATTGCGGGTGGAAAGGACAATAAATATTATATTTTTTATGTGTAAATTTTTATCTTTGATTCCAATAATGTTCAATAATCATTAACGAAGCATGAAAGCAGCTAACATTATAACCTAAAATTTCGTTTTTTTTTTGTTTTATACGGGAAAATATGTAATGGTAAAAATATTTAGTATAAAAGGGGAAATATTATGATATAAAAGTAATTTCAGGTGTATTCATTGTCTCCTATCACAAAGTTTTCTTCAATGACCGACCGAATGTGTATGAATGAAACGTCGAAGGTTATGGACCGTCGATATCCTGGACTAATATAGTTGCCTGATAATCGGGGAGCCTCGCGGTGTAGAAACCGCTCGAGGAATGCGTGTAATGCGTGTACGTACACGTCACGCCCACTCATCGTCGCTGTCACGTACGAGACTCATCGTCGTAGTACATACGTGCCTCTCCACCTGCGTGTAAATACGTACGCTAGTACCAGCGTGCACGTACGTGGACCGTCGCTTACGTGTCAACCTTAAAAATGTGTACATTCTCGAAAGTGTCTCGTACTACTTGCCAGCGGACGCACGTGCACGTACGAGAATACAGTAGAGAGCAGTGTCGATGAAGAAGCTTCTGAGTACACATTGTACATTTCTTGAATCAGTGCAATGTTAAAAAATTTTTTTTTATTTTTTGTATTTATTTATTTATTTACAATTACAAACAGTAGTTCTGTTAAATGAAGATATGACTGAAGAGAATCAAACTCCATGACTTAATTAAATTTTGAATTTAAATTTATAATTGTTGTATTCTAATAATAAAAAAACACTGTTAATCTTGAAGCTTCATATTACAATCTATTATACAGTAGACAATTATAAGGTCTAATAGTTACAATAACACGGTTAATGGTAATTTATTTGATATCATTGCTAAGGTGTTGCCTAATATTAATTTTAAACTATTAAAAAATTCTGAACATAAAAAAAAAACACTTTGTGTACATTATTTTCCAAGAAGAATCTTCCTTGTTGCACCAAAGTTTTGACCAGCTTGGGTAGCACCTTTATTCGTACCAGCTTGTAGACCAATAAGACCTTCACCAGCTCTTAATTGTTCTTCTGTAAAGTTTCTCTTGTTCTCTTCAGCTGGTCTTGGTCCCAGCCATGGGCCACGCCATTCAGGATGTCTGTATGTCTAAAAATTAACGTTGTTTTTTATTTCTTATTTTTTTTTGTGACTATGTGTAATTAACGATAACGAAGGATATATTGGATAATGATTATTACAGTGCGACCAATGGCAAAAATGGTGTTAGTCACTTGAGCGATGTTCTTCCTTTCCATTAGATCAACCGCCTGGAATAAATCGACATCAGGTACTCCGTATTTCACACAGGCCTTCTGGAACCTAAAATAATGATGCATGTATAATGACAGTACATCGATGTTTATTTTCTGCGGCGCAGAATTAACGCCTCTCGTGTCTCCAATTAACAGGAACACATGATACTAAATAGCTTTATCGACGTCAACGTTATGTAAGATCATTGAAATCTCTTTAATCTTGCAAAAATGGCGTATAATATATTAAATAATAATAACACTGTTCCATTGCACAAAGAATGTAAAATATTATTCAAATTAATTATCTAATACTTAAACATTATTTACAGTATATGAAAAGTACTTTAAATTAATCATAGCAATTAATTTATTTTATATTGTTACTAATATGTATCATAAAAAACAGTATTAAATATTAATTACAAAGTTATAATAGTAAAGTTAGTCATAAAAAGTGAAATAGTTACATTTATTCCTAAAAAAAAAACGCCACGAACGAGTATATTGTATAAATTCGGTACATAAATGGCGTACATTACGTAGCCGCCATTTTATTGGTACCGATGCAACCAACACGGCTCGTGACACAAGAAACGTGAGGCAGGCCAGTGTTAATGAGCTCTCTGGTTATTAGCAACACATGAACGAACGAAGCATACGCGATAAAGATCATCTGGTTCCACGTTACTCCTGCTTTCCGCATAAAAAGGGAGTAATGCGGAGTGGCCGCGCTGCGCATCGTTCGCCCCACTACTCAGGAAAGCGCTCTTAAACATTGAAAACGCGCCAATTGCCGTCATGCGCACGCGACATCGCGGTTAGATGTAACAGACGTCATGGTTTGCTGCACTCTACACAAAAGAACCACTCAGTACGCTGGATGCATTTCCTCGGTACAGCTTGAATCCTCTGATATGTTTAATCACGGTGCGCAATATGTACATATATCTAAAATCGACCTACAGCTGAAAAGTATAACACACGTATTTTGACAAGACTGTAGCAAATTGATTTTATGTAAATTGATATTATATCAAATGCAGACTGAAATAAATTGAATAAAAGAGTGTTCTTATCAAATTGTCAAGAATTATTAAAGTTATAGTATTAATTGTATTGTACTGTTGTGTTTGTGAAGGTTCTTCTGTAAGATGATAGTATGGGTAGATCAGGTCTTCTTTTTATTTACTAACAGCTGATTGCGACGGTCCCGACCTCAGACTTTGTTGGTACTTATTTACCAGGCTGCCAGGAAATGCAAGGAAGGATAACGTGGCTAAGTTTTCGCGGCAATAGCATCAATGGCTCTCGAAGCAATGATTCGAGGTCAATAATCGTATATCGTTTGATCTCTCGATCTGAACGAGTCGGTGACCACTATTCTCGACGTCGATAGGTTGCAGTCGAGAGTCGTTCAGAAGCAAAACACTGTCGATTGCGTAAAGTCGACTGAAGAGTAGGAATGCATGAAATCAAAGAAGTTCGAACGATGGATAATTTACGAAAATTAGCGGGATTGTCTTGTTTATTGATTTTTAACTTTTATTCTATTTCTATATCTCATACACAAATATAATTTAGTAAATGAGTTAGTAAATTGTGATGTCATTATTTAGAGATTATAATATGTATTCACAGTTAGTTAGCAATAAAGTTTTTTTTTTTAATTACAGTGGGGTTTAAATATTAGTTTCATTTTCCATGCGTCATAATTGTATTTTCTGTAATACATACTGTTGAAGATTGTCCATCATTTTGTAATCACCACCAGACGTATTGATTTTGGTGATGAGACCCGGTTGCAATTTGTTCATCAGCTTACAAAGCAATATTCCATCACGTAAAGCATCCTCATAACTTACGCCTATAACATATTGTACTTGCTACATTAATAAACAAATAATATTCAAAACTATATACAATTCTATACAATTTCTTAGTTCAGTTCTTAATCAGCTCTAATCTTAATCATTTCCTAATCGTCATGTACCTTAAGAAAATTCCTAAAAAAGGAGAACAAATGACAGAGCAATGAAAAGAATGCCGGGAACCACAGTGGCACCAGGATAACAGAAAAACAAACCTCACCTCCCCCGCGGCAAAGTGTGGTGAGTGTTATACTTCCGACTGAACATGCGCACTTCGTGTCAGCCATCGATTTTTATTGTCAGCCACAGGATTATCAGCCCCAAACGAATAACTAACTCGTTTCTCTCTTTTTTCATCTCCCTCTCTGCCCACCATCGCGGTTGAAATCGCCGCGAAATAATAACAGAGGCTGCGTGCACCAACGCTCGTTTATGGAGCCCCATTATGCCAAGAGGCGCGCCAAGGGGGCATGGCATTTTTTGCCAATCCAACGAAGGATCAGGAAAGACCGCCTCCGTCTTCCGTTGCTCGCTCTTTTTTGCTCTTGACCTACGTCTCGATCGGCGCCATCATTGTCTTGCAGTCGTCGTGACTTCTGCGACGAAGCATACTCGCCGCCATTCGAAAGACACGCTGCATCTCAAACTGCCAGGGACACAGCATCCGACAAGAGTTCATCCATTGATGTCAAGCATGTATCGTTTACTGTCAAGTTCCCCTTCCTCCGCTTCGTTGACGTTTCGATGTATCGAACGTATTGACGTGGCACGCTCTCTGGCGAGAGAGTTCATAAATTGTATCGATAACCGCGGGTAGAAGCGCTGCGGTCGGTGGAAGCAACAGTTGGCGCTCTTTCCATGTGTTATGGATGCATCGAATTGCTAAGATGTGGTTTACATGTGAAAGGTATTTCGGAGATAAATCAGAGAAACAGGTATGTGAAGTAGGAAAGCTGTAGGTAGGTCGATTGTGTTTCAGGTTTCTGAATAGAACATACTGATTCAACGAATACATCACTGCGTAGGATCTATATTCTGGTTACAGACAGTAGTAGCGATGGATAATATATGCAGCATCTATGAATATGAAAGTTACAGAGTTACTAAGAAAACATACGAAGCTTCGAGTAGCTCTCCAGCTGCGCCTTCTGCATGTAAGTAAATTAGAAAATAGTACGCAATGTGTAGAAATTATTGAAGAATGTTGGGGACACGAATTGTTAACATTTTCTCGTTTCCTATTTTGCAATAAATATCGTAGTATAAGTACAGATTATTCATCGCTAACGTACTATCTTTATATTCTGTTGTATTTTTTAAAGGAGCCTTCGATTCTTTTCGAACATTTTTGGACAATCAGACACGTGTTAACTGTTCAAAGGACTACTATCCTGATCCTGCAAGGACGATATGACACGTGGTTTGGCTGTGGAGGGGACGCCATTAAATGCTTACCCGAAAATCTGTTCGCCTAATACAAAACTGGTCGTTTGCTTGAATTTTCGATTGACGAGCATTCGACAGCCGATCAGTTTCACCTTTATACAACATCACAAACTCTGTTCAATTGACTCCTATGTAACTTCGAAGTAATAAGAACAACAAGTAATTTCACACTCAAATATGAAAAATTAAAAAATATTACACAAATGGCAAGGCAAGAAGAAGAAATTACGCAAATAGGAATCTAATAGGAATAGTTTGCGAAAGATCCAGCTAAGTTAATTAAAGAAGCTGATGGTGATATTTAATAACCTCACTCATCACCAAACTTATCACAAACTTGATTTACCAATAAAGAGATGAAATCAGTGTTTCTAATTTGCAGAATTCAAAAGAGAAATCTATGTACGAAGAAAGAATTAATTTTCAAACAACGATGCTTGTATACGTGCTCTCAACTACGCAAGTCAAGCGAATCGAGCGAACCAGTAGCTTTTCCACAATATCCAGGCAACAGCAATCGAGTGGCGACAGCAGCATCCAGTCTCCGGATCGACGCGGGCAGATGTAGTAAACAAGCGTGACATGCTTGATACGTTCCTGGTAGCATCGAAACGCGATGAGATGTCGTAAACGCAAGAAGATGACAGAAAATCGATAGAACGCCTTCCAAGCCTGGGCGACTTCCCCTTACGATTCTTCGCCGCTTTCTTTCGTGCTCGAACAAACACAGCGACGTGATGCTGGCCTGATATTTTTCAGACGTTGCGTGTCTTATTGCCGTCTTCGTTCCTGCGCCAATACTGTGCGTCAAAAAAATATCGAGTCGTAATAATATGTATTGGTGGTTCGGAACTATTGCTGGTCCGGATGATATCCTGTTACGTTGACACGTCATAGTCGTCATGTCCCGACAATTTGACGTGAAATCGATAAACCACTTTGGGCGTGTTTCTTTTACGAGTGTGCATAACGTACATATATTTCTAATTATTTTTATGGAGAAAATGAACGTACCACTTGGTAATGTTGAATATTAGGCAGAAGGTAGGTAAAAGGGACGATAGGAAATGAGATTAGATTCTAATGCCTAATTTTTAAAATAATTACTTTTGTTAATAGGTGTGGAAAAATTACGAAATGGATAAACGAAGTTAGCGTAAGGCAGAAGAGAATATGTAAAATTATGGAAAAGAATTATCTCAAGAAAGACGATGGAATTCTTCAGAAAAAGCGGTTCTATCGTCAAAGAGCACACTTGCGTGTCCTGGGTATCGATTTAACGTCAGTTTCATGTCATAAAGACGTCAAACACACGGTTTTCACCAGGACAACATCCCCGGGATGAATTTACGACCATCGAGGAGCAACAGGTCCCGCGGGAACGAGCTCTCTCTTCCACGCAGAATCCAGTTTCCCCTATTTTTGCAACAATCATTTTAACAACAATTCCTCCTCTTGCAATTCAATCACTAGGTAGCTAATCGAGCAACACTTCCTTACATTGCCCAATTAAATTCTCAAACTTAGTATAAATAAAAATATTTCTATAATACATATAATACTAAACTAAAAATATATAAAAATAATAACTTAAAACGCTGTACAGAATTCTCTGCAGTCTGCAAATAGTCTGTATCACAGTGCAGCCAAAGATTCGTGGGAAAGCACAAAGCAACCACTACATTATTGATTACTAGAAACAAAACACACCCCTTCACGCCTACCCTTGTATGAAACACAGCTCGAGGTGGCAACCTGTTGCTCTTGGTCGTAAATCTACCCCCGGGCTGTAATCCTGGTAGGTTAGTCTCAGAATGACGTCATTGACGATCTTTTGACGGACAACTGACACCCGTTGACGTCTCCCCGGAGCCTTTCAACCGAACGAATCATCGAGACGTGATTTCTTCCGGAGGATACGTTTCTTATTTTCCAAACGTATATAACGAACCCCACACGAATACAGCCCTTCGTGGGCGGGAAGGTCATAAATTCATCTACTACACATCGTTGCTACCCTAGTAACTGCGAGCTTTCGTGACGTCACGCGACGTTACGTGACGAACTGTTCGACATATCGACAGCTGCCCAACCCTTCGACTCTCATCGACAGAGGTGCGAGGAGGGTTGCATTCTATGGGGAAGAATTTAACAGATAGAAATGGAAAGGTGGATCAAAGCCATAAATCCCTCAAACGTCTGCTGGTATCCTGGTGCAACCAAGCTACTTGTGCCACCGTGACGAACGGATGACTGACATTTCCCTTCCTCGAGACCCTTCAACTTCCGTCTCATGAGCATTAAGGCGCGTTCTCAATGGAATGTAACAATGTTGCAAATGTTTCTAAGATCGTATGGAGGGAATTTTTATTCAGTACTCTAAGTTAGCTATGAAATGTCATTGAAAGTTACTTATGCATGAAACATTAAAAAAGATGAATAATAATTGTTATAAATAATTAAGTTGAGACCTGAAAAATTTAACAATATTTTATTTTATTGTGTGTGTGAGTGGATATAGGTCGATAGGAATAATATTTGACAGTATTTGTTCTTAAAATTGTAGCGAGTTTGTTGAGAAGAAAACAAGTTTGATCATTGTGAAGAATTCTTTATGTCCAATTCGTTTTAAGAAGAGGAAATTGAAGGGTGTATGAGTGGGAGGAAACAAAGAAATGACACAATGCGATGTTTGACTGGACTATCTGATCGCTTGTATGCAGCCCTGGTACGTTGGCGTCCTTACGACGTAACATGATGAACAAATGACGCTAAATCAATACACGTCGTCGGAAAGCGATTGTTAAAACGTCGTTTGATGAGCCTCTCAGCCGAGAAGCTTTTACTTCCTACGCAAAGAGCGGCGAGTAACTCCAACCATTATCTATATACAACCTACTCTTAATTACTACAAAAAAATTATCTTTAACATTTATTTGATATACTTGACACTAGCCAATTTAGTATCATTCTTTAACACGATACTTTATCGTGTAAATATTAAAAATATTTCAACCAAATGATTGTCAAGTTATTTTCAGATAATTGATTCCTCCAATGCAATGCAATTTTCAGGCCTATCTAAAAAATATTTGGAAGTATACAATCACAACACAAGGGTCGTGTCCAGCATGCCTCGCGAGCTTCCAGGAACAGGCTAACATCCACAATGGAAAGACTGAAGAATTCTGGAACGTATTGAATTCCAATCGTCTGTTACCACGACGTTCAGGGATGCTAGGAACCATCTAGAGGGAGAGAATAGCGAGTGGAGGAGATCGAACAACGCTAGTCCAAGTTCAATTTTAAACGAGTCAATAACATCAAAAGCTTGGAATACCCGGCTCGCATCATAGTGCAGAGCTAGTTCTTGCCGTGGAACTAACACTGTATGACGCTCGAACGATTACGTATTTACAATGTCATGTAAAATCTAGCTTTGCGATAAACTTTTATACCCTATCGTAATGATAGTCCATTATACAGACTGAATAAGCTCAATAAAAGCTTCAAGTAAAAAGTACAATATTTTCAATCTTAAAATATTGCAATATTCGTACTACAGAATATTTTTTCCTTTTAATTTAGGCGCTGTTCTCATGCGACTAGTTCCTGTACAATCTGACACGTGCAAATCATATGTCCAACACGGCGATTGCGTCGACGCCTGGCGTATTTCTCAAACCAGGGGTGCACGTTCAACGTAGGGGTTGTTACCCCCTTGACGTTCAATAGGGTGACTCGAATGACGTAACAAAGCGCGCGTTTTACTAGGAGAACAGGGAGAAATGAAGGTTGCTACTACCCTGAGCAACCCTAGCCACGAGTCACCCTCCTCAGGACTTTCAACCTCCACGTGCTTCTGTGTACTTCTCTCAGGATCAATAATTCTCTCTTGGCACGAAAATTTGCAGAGATTTAAATGTAACCGAGGCTGTACAATTTTCATTATAAATAATATCGTATCTTCACTATTCTCTTGTTAATTTCTACTAATATATTATTTTTCATTTCAGATATTTCTGAGGTGTTTTATCAATTGATCGCATTTCATAGTGAGGGGAGATACCAAGAACTGACCTAGCCAACAAGTTTAACCTTTGCGACGTCACGCGGCCTGACATTAATACCCGGCGATCATAGAGTTCCAGCTAGCCAGCCTCCGGACTCGTTGCGCTCGTCCTGAACGGGGGTGGTGATATTGACACGCTTTTCGAACTGCACCACCTCCGGAGAACAGGAGCCCATGTACGTGAGTACGTATCTCAAGGGAGTTGTATCATCGATAAACTCTAATCAACCGTATATGTATGTAAGTACATAGTTATTACAGGAGCGATACGACACATTTTACCGAAGCTTAAAACTGAACCATTAAAAAAATAATTGTCCAACTATGTGAATATACCTGGTGGAAATTTCACGCCAACCACTGTCTCGATCCACTGCTGAGCCTCAGCTTCCTGGCTCGATTCTCGTTTGCCAGCAACCTGTAACAGGAAAGTTAAAAAAGAACTATTTTAATACGTTTTCAATGTTATCGATGTTTCATGGACGGGCAGGCTAATGGGTTCTCTCTCTTCACAATGATTAACGACGCTCGATATTTTTTGTGAAAGACAAAGTCTGAAAATAGCTGTTTTAACTGCCCGCACTGGATACACCACGTGTGCGGGGTGGTATTCGTTAAATCTATTTTTGAAGCTCGATAGAAGAAGCATTGATAAAGTTAAATCCGTATCTCTACGCCGAACGTCATAGCAACTTTGTTTGCTAACTGTTCTGCACATATGGTTGATCACATGTAATTTTACCAATATTCTATTCATTTGAAAAATTCTTTATATTTTAATTAAGATGATCAGTTTCCGCAGAAACTTTCAAAAATTGCCGTAGCCGATGGTATTTCACATCGTCATGGCGGGGTATTGGTAAAAGTTTTCAACTAGCAATAATCGCACCTCGGTAGAACCTCATTGGTTACGATATCGCCACTGCGCAAAGCTAACGAGCCTCTCTTTCTCTGCCCTACTAATAACAGCACGATGATCTTTCATCAGTGAGAAAACGTACCTCTCCGAACGCCATCTTGCGGCAACTTTCTATACTGAAGCTACACTGGAGAGTAGGTACTTGTTGAATTAAAATGGTAATTCAATGTAATAAACTAATAAATCAGTAGAAATATAATGTAAATTTATATATTACATTTCATTAGAAATATTAACTAGACAAATCTACGAACGATCTAAAATAAAATTTTTATTTCAAAGGTACAACTTTCCCGGATACCATCTGCGGAACCAGTGCATTTGCAATTGCAGCAAGTAGAGATGCGTTAAGTATTTGCTGGAAATGCATTGTCGCAGGATAACACGAGGCAAAGAGGTAGCACGCTAAGTACACGTGTAAGGAAGGCCAGCAATGGAGTCTTTACTCCATTCTTTCCTCCAACTCGAGTACCTATAGAATATACATATACTCTTTCTACTTGTTGCTTCTTCCAACTACTTAAGAAACACGAGTCCGTGCAATTTCCACATAACTCATATTCCCTCATCTTTCTATTTCAGATTCGATTAAATAAAGACCGAGATGATGAAGTACCCCAAAAAAGAACATCCCCTTGAAGAAATTACGGATCGAATTAGGAAAGGGATCAGGGACAGAGGAACAATCTTATTCACGATGTTGATCCAATTTTGCGTTACGCAATTCTAGTTTGAACGTATCGAACATGTACCGAACGGAGCCAGTTCCAGTCGTCTACGTAATTCCGTTGTGTTACGATAAACTTGGAAACAGCGTTGTGGATTGACGGAATCTAAACTCGGCGGTGGCCTCACCCTTCGAAGTGGCGAGAGTCCAGATATTACGTTGCTTATCGGCGTCTTTCATCTGGCGCTCGTCCATCGAACAGGTTAACCATCGGTTTTTCTTGCAAAACACACCCACTTGTTCGAACTTTTCCTCGCTTCTTGGTCGTCAACCAGGGATTCCCCCTCCGTTTCGTTTATCCACGACGTCAGTGTTCAACAATAAACGACAAATAATCTAAGCTGATACAACATTTCTAAATACACGCTGATCCAGACTGTGTAGACTATTTTTGCGTCGTGGATAAACGAATACTGTCTCTTCCTCGAAGGAGTAGGTATATACATCTTGAAAGACGCTACATATTTTTAACTCTGGCCTTCCAGAGACGAACAAAATTGCAGACGACCTCATTTTTCACACTTAATTGCAGCACCTCCGCGAATCCTGTGTTTAATCCTGTTGAAGTTGCGTGCAACATCATCCACGACTGAAGAATGGTAGGCACTTCAAAGAAAGAACTGCTCGTGGAAGAGATAAAAGAAAAGATGAAGACGAGATGCAAAAATAAGCAGCCTGGTGCACGACCCAAATTGCCATCCAGTTATTACTCTGTAGCGAAAAGGTCTTTGAACCAGAGGTTCAAGAGATACACTCTTAACTTCATATGTTAATTAACAACACATATTAATAATAAATATTCTACAAAAGAGGAGATTATTTAAATTTACATTTCTCTATTCCAGAGTAAATCGTTGACCTGTTGATCATACCTCACGGATGAAAATTAATCTTCAAGTAATCTGCAATACGAAGAATTGAAGATCACATCTGGAATAAAAACTGCTTGTTATTAACCAGCGAAAAAATATGGAAGGACGACAATGAAGAAGAGGAACCAGGACGGTTATTAAATATGTTACAAGCAGACTTCTTGTAAATAGGGCTGCAGTGTCAAGATCTGGTTACGAGCGGGGGTGTGGGAATACCCAATGGGCAAAGAGCCAAAAAACATTCGTTCCTGAATGTCGGCGGAAAGGATACGGCGGAGGGGAGACCGGCATATAGCGTCGCGACGCACAGCGTTCGACTTAGTCTCTAGTCATCGTTCAAAAGCTCGTTCTCTTTCGGGGATAAGCTCAGTCTCGTGGAGCATTGTCGATCAACCCTAAGGCAGGATCTACATAAAGAAAACGAAAGAGGAAACATGCCGGTATGTCTTCAAAAATCAACAACGAACATCCTGTCGATGGATCAGTGCACGTTTTCACGAAGGATATTATACAGCGATTGTACGACGCGTAAACGTGATTTACCTTTGATCAAATTTTCAGTGCTAGTTGTGATAACTGGTCGAGAAATGAGAGCTGTAATAGAGGCTGTAATACATGAATAATTTCTCATTGCTGTACCACGCGATACCGTGGGGTTATTCGTAGAATCCTAATTACGTTAAGACCTTGATCTATTTCGTTCTGGCGATTTTCCCAAAATGCTGGATTAATCTTGACGCCTATAGTGGAAATGGTTAAAAATCGTGATAGAAGAGGATTTAGGGATATACACGAAGAACAACGATAGCTGTTGATGAATCGCTTCGATCTAGTTTACCGTTGATGAATGCTTTCGTTTTGTACCGTTGACATGACGGAGATCGTGTAATTTTGAACCGGTGATCGGCTTTTGACGCGCATCTCCACCACCTCGACCGCATTCGGAGTATTTATACCCTAAGATAAATATCCTTGCGTAATATATCTTCGTCGTGTCTTTCAGCGGAAATGATAAATCAAAGAACCAGACCGTTCATTCTTTTTATTCACTCGAGTTGTCCTGAGCTAAAGGTATCGCTTTTACGTAATATTCCCCGATGATCGCAGCTATTTAACGGTAACATAATTCTATTTCATCGTGAACATTATTTCACCTCTTGCTAATTACCTTTCAAGCATTCAGCAAGATTCAACGAGGAATAGCTTGATTAATTAGAGAGAATACATTCGATAGCGCCAATTCACGAGTACTCGGCCGTTGGTTACTGAAATTTGATCAAAGGCCAAATTGTTGAAGAAAAGATTCGTAAAAAGGAATCGGTCAATTTAACGTGAAATTTCATGAATCGTTGCACCGGGTGTCACGTCTACGAGATGTCCTCGAAGAGAGAGAGAGAGAGAGAGAGAGAGAGAGAGAGTTTCGACGTGAAACACGTTGCTTCGAATGACCTGACACTTTGCAGATATGCTGGAGATTTCTTCGCGAACCAGCTGTAGATCTTTGCTGATCGTATTCCTTTCCACCGAGTAGAAATAGCATTCATAGCAATGGCGCGATGCAATCGCCGAAATGCATACGTGACGTAAAGTCGTATGTACACGCGAATCATAAATACTGATCTATCGCGAACAGAGGGATGCCAGGTTTCGTTTGCGTCAGTTGTATTCCCTGGCATCGTAGATCAGCGTAAAAGGTGTTAATAAATTGCACACACTTCAACGAGTTTTAAGCTATTCTATATATCCGACTGAAGATATTTTATCGACTATTTTCATAGAAAATTACCATCCATCGATAAATCGTTTGTTAATATGCTTCATAAAAAAATCACGAAAAATTACAGAATTTCCATTGAAGATACGATCGATTCTCGTGAGAAATGTAAGTTAATCGTTTTAACCAACTTGGTAATTCTACCGTGAACATGGAGAGACCGTGGAGGCGAAACAATTGTCAGAGTGCCAAGAGAGTAAATTCAGACGATTTTACCAGAAATCAGTAAAACTCGGTATTCACACGGCACGGAAACAGGTGGCCAACGATCCATACGTTGTTGCCTCATGCCAGTTTTAATAAAAGCCAACGAATCGGTCGGCGTATTTTATTTTCGACGTTCGCTTTATGCCTGCCGGTAACGTAACACCGTCGCGCTCTATTTTCGTTCCTCGGAACACTTTTAAATCTCGCTGGACCATCCTTGAGATTCTCTTCCATGCGATATACTTATGCTACAGCATTCAGTGTTCAGCTAAATATGACGAATTTTCGATGTATTTACAGGTACGTAACAAGGAACAGGAAACCGAGGTCATGGCCTGGATCGAGGCTGTACTTGGAGAAAAGCTTCCACCTGGAAACTACGAGGATATCCTGAAGGATGGAGTTGTTTTGTGCAAGCTTATCAACAAATTGGCTCCTGGCTCGGTGAAGAAGATTCAGGCGAAAGGAACTAACTTCCAGTTGATGGAAAATGTCCAAAGGTACAGGGAGAATCTTGGAATTTTACTAGAAAAGAACATTTTTCTTAGTAATTTATACAGGTTGAAAATTGAAGGAAAATAAATGAAAATTTACAAGAAGAGTAGATACTAAAAGCTTCTAAAATCTTTACTCTTTTTTTTTCTTAAACACTCTGTATATTAAATAACATTTTCTGGGACAGATTTCAAGCGGCCATCAAGGAATACGGAGTTCCACAGGAAGAAATCTTCCAAACAGCGGATCTCTTCGAAAGACGCAACATCCCACAGGTTACTTTATGCCTCTATGCACTTGGTAGGATTGTACGTGCCTTTAATTTCGATTTTCATCTAATTTTTGAAACTGCAAAAAAGAATCTATCTTCTAATTCATCGTTTCCCCCTTTTTTCTATACAATACAGACGCAAAAGCATCCTGAGTACAATGGACCACGCCTAGGACCGAAGATGGCCGACGAAAACAAAAGACAGTTCACGGAAGAACAGTTACGCGCGAGCGAGAGCCAACTGAACTTGCAAATGGGTTTCAACAAAGGAGCCAGTCAAGCTGGCCACGGTGGATTCGGCAACACTCGACACATGTAAACTTATTCTTCTCCCGAACGCGTAGAAAACGCGTTGTCGAGATTCTATGTTAAAATTATAAATATTCTATTACCAAATCTAACATCGTCGATCTCGAAACGCTACGAAGAGGACTATCTAATTTGGAAAAACGAGCTGCAAAACGAATATCTACGAAAATGTATCCTGGAAACGCTGCAACAATGCAGCATCTTTTTTTCTCTCTAGGATATGTTACTTAGCAATTTATTCTACTCCGTATTATGTACGTAAATGCGAGATCCTGTTGATGAACTGTGCTAATTGACAGACATAATTACACGATACATTATAATTACACTTACAACATTAAATGAATATACACGCTACAGTCACAAATAGATGCATACATACTTACATACACACACACACATACACAACATGCACACGTTTACCTCACGGAAAGACTAAACGCATCATAAACTAATTAAGTTACACCTATACATATACACGTAACAAACATGTACACGCATAAAATATCAGAAATATAAGTGATTTTTTTTTAACGCATCGAATATCAATTTACAACTTGGCATCTCTTAGGTGTGCTTATTGCAGAGAAACGTGAAATATGACACAAAGTGCCAACACAAACTCATCGTTTATATCAGGGGAAAATGAGATAAAGAAGATTTCTACGATATTAACAGGATTTCGTAATTACTGTAACAGCGTAATTGTACGATTCTAACGAAAATCAATTCGAACTAGTAGTGTAATGTCTTTTCTAAGATTTCTAAATCGTCCACGCACAATTTACCAATGACGACAATGTATTAACAACAAGTGTACGAAATAATAAAAATGCAGCGCTGCTATTTTCTATTATATCTATTATTGTACATCGTTTTAATTCACGAATACAATTAGAACCAAGGGGCTTAAGTGGACAGGGGGAAGTTTCATTGGTTGCTATTTTCTCCACAATGTTAGAAAAACAAGGGTCGAAGAAATTTGAACATCCTTCAGAGACAAGGCTATGTCGTGCCAAGTTCTTGGCACACATTAATGCAACTAATGTAACAATAACGACTTCACTTTCAAAATGTTTCCCTCTTAATTTGTGATATAATTTACAGGGATAATTATTCGTGTCGACAATTGTAAAAATGACCTAAGTCGAAAGTCTGAAAAAGTTCAAATTATTAAAACATTCTTTGATACGTATAAAGTACCAACAATGAATTATTTCGATACAAAAAAAAATATGGCTTCGATTTTCTTTTTTTACGACAAGTTCTCGAAATTCTGGAATCCACCTTCTCCATTCGAGTACGAGTTAATTTGGGCACATCCGTCGCGAAAATACCGAGGACTTGTTTGTAAATAAACCTTGCGCCACGAGCTGTCGTCATCGGAACATAAATTTTTCTCCTGGATTTTTTATTCTTTTTACCCGAGGCAGAAACACGTAACATGGTCGTACGGTGTAACTTAATTCAAACTTTTGCTTATCTTGGCATGTCTTAACGTCTTTGAGTTATTTTTGAATCTCCGCGATGTGCCAGCAAACGCTGGACTCACGTTATGATATCGTATTAACGTATTATATATATCAAGCATTCCATTCGCGATACAATACGTAATAAAAATGCACCGTAACGCTATTTCGAGATTACGCGGGAAACACATCGAAAAGTAAGGTTAGTTTATTTAGAATAAAATATGAAAGTGGAATGGTTGTCGCAATAATAAGACGATTCAGTGTAATCCTGAGTATAAATCGAAATTAGATGGCGATGCATCGAGTGACTCATGGTTTATAACCTCTCCAGAATTAGAAGCACTTTAACGAAATCTCATAAAAGTATCGCGAAGATGTATGCTGAGTCAGATGTTTGAAATAGATGGCTTTTCAGTATGTCAAGGGGAAGAAATTTCTCTCACCAGATTTTTCACGGTCGAATTACATATATCGCGAAATATTAGATTCATTAGAATTAATTTCTACTCATATTTTGACATTTATACACTGACCAATCATATCTTAGAATTAAAGTCCACGTGTCGTTTCCATAGAAATAAAAATTTCGGTGTAAACAATAGAATATGCTTGAATAAATATTATTAATTCGCGTTGCGCAGTATTCATGATTTTGAAACACATTAGAAAGTACGCAATAGGTACTTACATAGAACACTTTCTCGTAATTCAAAAAGTAAATCCTACTTTTTTTTTAACAAAAAAAAATTGTAAGACGTAATTATTCCTCACAAATCGATACTCGAACGCAAACGATAATTTAAGGTTACACATAACAATCGACAAAAGTAACTTCATGGCGCGAAGAAACGAAAATTCTTGTGATATGGCTTACCTGCCAAAGCGGACGTCCAGGCATCGTAAGTGTTCTTTTTCAATTCTCAAAACGTGTCGGAGACGTGAAGTTGGTAGAGCTTAACCAAGTCAAGCACAAAAAGTGTGCGCTTCGGCCCCCGTGCTGCGTATATATGCGTGACAGGTGTGCACTTGTGTTGGTGAACGTGGGGGCGCTTCTATATATGGATCACTTACTCACCACCCACCCCAGTCACACGCAAACACCGACGATATCTTTTCGAAGGCGTTCTTAAACAATCACGTGAACACCATGTTTCCAATGCCTGGAAATAGGGTGAAACGTTTTTCTAGATCACTGAAGAAACTTCCACATAAGTATTGCTTTAAACTTTTCACGCATTCACACTGCATTACGCTTTAGAGTGTATACACCACACTATTGTACAGAGAACGCAGATCGTCGAACGATTAACGAGAAACACAACATAAAAACTTCATCTTGTATGCAAAACGTGAATTTATTTTATGCACTGATTACATACAGTTGTAATAGCAATATGAGAGAACGGTAATACAACGGTAGCGTGGCCGAGCGGTCTAAGGCGCTGGTTTAAGGCACCAGTCTCTTCGGAGGCGTGGGTTCGAATCCCACCGCTGCCATTAATTTTTGCTTTCTTTTGTAACCATCTGAACAGTACGCACGTGTTCCTGAATTTTATTTTCCACAACCTTCGCGAGTCGGTGACACGCAATTAGCGGAAGAAGACGGTGGTAGCGAGTCCCTTGAAGGTCCAATAGGTTGCGTCGGCACGCGGCGCCGTGGTTCACACCTATTAGGGGATTACGCTATACAAGGAGCTTCCACTCGTTACAATTGCAAACAATGACACCTATCGAGTCTTGATTGAACTTTGTACTCAGGTTTACAAAATGGCCGTCTTATTTTTTGCGTTAAACATAGAATTTTGCATCGTTGAATAAATTTTACAGAATGTATAATTATCAATCGTAAACCTTAATTAATTATTTCCGTTTAAATAAACGTTTTTAAAGAATTAAACATGTAAAAAACACTAGAAAATGCTGTATTGGTGAAAATAAGTGTACATTATTCTTGCAAATAACATTGCAAATAGGTGGAAAGCAATGGCTTTGCTTACATTTGAAGATTAGTTATTTATAAATGTTTCATTTAAACAGAAAAGAAAGTTGAGGTATAGTATAGGGATAACCATAGTCCGTTCGAAAAGTACAGCGGAAGTACGTTTCTGAAGAACATGTTAGCCTGATACATGTTTCATTCTGAAGATGCCACCACGAGCCACACCCTATGGATACACAAGATATTCATACCACTTATGATACCAGTCATGTTTTCATAAAAAATCATTTAATAATATATAATACTAGTATTATAAGTTCATAATTTTTTTTAAGTTAAAGAAAGTCAGTACGATAGTAAAATTAAATAAATTGTATATCTAGATTTTTTTTAAATTATGAAATTACTTTTGACCCTGACGTGATTTGAACACGCATCTTCTAATCTGGAACTAAATAGACGCACTACCGTTGCGCCACGGAGTCGGTAAAGTAGAATTTTTCGTCTAATAAATATCCCGAAATAAGTATTTCAGTAAAAAATTGCGAATGCAATACATTGTTAAACAAAAGCAATGTATAATGTACAATGTAATTCTCTTATTGTAAGAGAAAGTGTATAGAGCAATATTTCTTACATATGCGATTGCCTTTGCATTTTCTAAGGGTATTTACACATTACATTATACATTGCATTTGTTTATCAATATATTGCATTCGCAGTTTTTTACTGACATATTTATTTCGGGGTGTTTATTGTACGAAAAATTCTTTATTACAGACTCCGTGGCGCAACGGTTACTAGCGTATCGATTTTCCTCAATCCCCCTTCAATAGAATATGTATTAAAACTTTCATTAGGAGAAAAGTTAATAGAACACTAAACAAATTAGCTTGCGACAAGTAATTGCTTAAAAATAAATCATTATTGATTTATATTTTTTTTTCAATCCCTTAGAAAATTATTAAAAATATCATATTGTACGTATGTGTACTATTTTTGTATTGTGTCGTAACAAAAGTGATATATACATATACTTTAAAATAGTCAACGTGCATAAGAAATAGACTATCTGAAATACAACATGTATACGCATTTTCTTTACACTGAAGTGCGGTGCGTGCTCACATCCCGCACACAAGACGCGAAATAACAGGATAACATGAGTGAACACCTTTCTCCTCTCTCGTACAGTTGAGCGACATTCGCGCGGGTTGTCTCATTTAGCCCCTCCTTGGATTAGGCTAACATGTTACTGCAAGAAGCTCCTTTAGCATGCTTAACCTGTTTCCCCTATATAGCACACATTGCGTCAACTCTCTAACCTTGATCTTTATTTTTCAAAATAGTTATTAATGAATAGTTGATGTATGTAAAGATGGTGCAATATAATAACAAAGTATTTGATCTCGCTTTAATAACCTAATTATTCGTTCAAAGCTCATGTAAATATAACTATATTATACATAAACATTGTTAAAATTTATAACAAATACGATAACATATTACTACTGCTAAACTAGTTCATTTATATTTCCTTTTAGCTATTGCTAAATACAGCTTTTCAGGCTTATCTATCACTTACTCAGTTCAACTCCAAATATAGTTATATTATCCTGTTACAAAACATCAATTGATTGAGCGTAAATGATTTTCATTGTTAATCATTAAAGTGTTAGAACATCTTTACAACTTATACGTAATATGTTCAGTGTGCACGTAAGCTACTGTTGGCTGTAAATTGCATTTACTGCACGAATATAATAAGCGCTGTCCGATGTTCATTATCGAGGTTTATCTCTCGGCTTCTGTACGTGTGGTTACGTCAAGCGGAGCCTATGCTAATTTACATGCAGCCTCCAGTAATCTGTAGTTAGCGGGTAGATAGAATGGACATAATCAACAATTTAACCGATTCATGAACAGGAAAGCATGAATGAATGTAGATGACCGGCGTAGCGTAACGTACCTCCGTGAAACTTATGTTAGCCGCGGATTGGAAAGTACACAATTTTGAGGAAGAGCCGCGCGGGCCCTAAGCACCTCTGTGACGTAGCAATACTTTATTGGCCCACATGACTTCTTTTCATCGTTTATCGATGCATTGACCCGGTATGGTCAGAATTTCGGTAAGTCCGTGGTCCCAAATGCGTCTCTAGTGGCAACAGGCATCTTACCGTTTTGAAATTCTGCTCGATAATGCATTGTGCCAACGTCCTAACCTTACCTGTACAGACTGAAGCGTAATCATGGGACAGTGACACCGTTTTTCCCCAAAATTGGAATTAATAACGTGTTCCACGTCTATGTGTTTGCATAGGTACAATTCTTCGTAAATCCCAGTCATTTTTTTGTCATATTTCTCGATTATAACGTTATAGGATACTCTTTCGGTGGTTGCTTGTAGATGGATCAAATCTTATTACGCTTTCCCCTAAAATTAACATGTGATTCGGAACAATGGTGGGGGATCGACTTCTATATACATAGATGAAGCTTGTAATATGGAGGGTCATGCGTATATACGTATACAAGTAAATGCTGTACACCAGCGCTTCTATCGGTGGCGTCATGAAATTACTGTCGGCAACATGCGTTCCTGTTGAAAAAATTCCTCACGGGCGAAAGTCAAGGTATGACGGAATATCGTAACAGCATATCTTCGCCTGGAGGACGCTACATCGATTATATGAGATCCTGGTGTTAGGAGGGGCTTTGTGAGACAACCCGCGCGAAACTCTTTTCAACGTAGGGAGAAAGGCAGCTTCCTAACTTGATATGTTTCTCGGATAATTCAGTGCTTGCATGCGGGATGTGAGCACGCACCACGTGTTTTTCACTGAACACATTGCAACGGTTTAACGGTTAGGGGCGTGTATCCTCAATAGTATCCCCCTTTTCCTTCCTAACGTTTCTGCGAATATGTCATAAGAACCCTATATACTGTTTATTTCCTTGTATTCATGTTTTAATAAATAAAGGAATTCACATATATGTATATGTGCAAAATGGAAAATATAAATTTTAATGTCTTGTTTTACTCGACGCCTAAAATGTAGACACGCGTATATGAATATATTATACATAATATAAATAGTTACGAGAAGAAATATGTATTTAATTTACAACGTATTTCATCCTTCAGGTAAATTTTGTTAATGTACGAAATAAATTGCCTAGCTTGAAGATTGAAACAAAATATGCAATTCTGAATAGACTAATGTATCGAAGACTCCGTGGCGCAACGGTAGCGCGTCTGACTCCAGATCAGAAGGTTGCGTGTTCAAATCACGTCGGGGTCAAAAATATTTTTTTATTTTCAATAAATTTTTATAATGATATTTAATAAATCCTAAATTGAACGAACATTTTGTACATAAATTTTATCTAGTTTTTAAATACTATTAACTAGTTAGAATAAATATCTTAAATAATATATCTTGCGCCTAAGTATACAAAAAACTCATATATATATATGGTTCGTGAGCTATACATAGTTTTTGAATTGGTATAGATCAGTTTGAACGTGTGTTCAAGTGACTGTCACGAAGGCGGTCGCAGACCTTAGCAATAAAGTATAGAACCTAAACAAAAGTCGAAAGAAGTCGACGGGAATCTGTTGCGGATCAGTCTGTTCTTAGTAGCTGCACTGTTACGTACTAAATATTTCAATGTGTAATAATAGCAAGTTATTACGTGTTAAATATTTTTTAATGTTAATTTACACTAGTGTTTTGAAATTTTTTAATCTCATGTATTAAGTGATGTACATATAAAAAATGTGAAGGTAAAGTTAAGCGATCAAGCGTCATAACGATCAAATTTCTTTGTGGAGGCACTAACCTCAAATTGACTCAATTGTTATTATAAAGTGAGTAAATAATTTATAAACAATTTATCATCAAAAATTATAAAAATAATAAAAGAAATATGTTTTATACGTGTTAGCGACAACGTATTTTAAGGGTCGTCGAAAGTAACTTAGCCCGACGTTATTTTGCTTTCGTACGATTTATGGCAGGGCCTGCGTATGGCCCGAGAGAGTGTTGTGTGAATGGGCAATCCAGATGACCCAACAACACGAAGTCACGCAGCTATCGGGTGTCATAGGATTGATTGTTTGAAAGAAGGCATGAGAAAGTTTAGAAATGGCAAGCAACTCGACGTAGTTTAAAATGACGTTCGTTTTAAGAATGTCGAAAGGCCATTTACCGTTAAATAAAAGTAAGCCATCGCTTAATATGTAAATTATTAACGGTAAATTATCAAAAATCGACCAAAAGGATTACACATTGTCGTAAAATGAAAAGATATTGGTGGCTACAGCGCTAATTAATAAACATAATCACTAATGTTACAAGTGCTACATATGTATACCGGTAAATAAGAAAAATTTATCAAGAAATCCTCGTTACTATAGTGGTTAGTATCCCACCTTTTGTTTCGACGGCGAGCAGCGAACACGCGTCGCGAACCTCTTCGTCGAATTGAACTGTTAAAAGTGGTAAAAACCGAGAGAATAATAAAGTGCTAGACATCAATTCAAAGTGTTCGCGACAGCGTTTACTTTGTAATATAAATTTTTAAAATCCGTTCAGTGAGCGAAAAATTATTAGCATTCAAAGTTCCTCGCGAATTAATAGCCGCCCAGGCGAAGCGGTAGCGTTGACAAAAGAACGCCACGCTCATCTGTCCAAGATAAATGCTAACTTCACGTACAATGATGAACAAAACTCATCAAAAACTAAAAACATCGAAGAAATTATTAAAATAATAAGACAAAAAGGATCAACAGAAAAGAGCCTGTCAAATGTGCAAGTGCAAATTAGAAACAACCCAAAGACAAAAAATTCAAAAAAAATAATCACACCGACACCGAACTTATCAAATATTAGAAAACCACCACGGAAATCAATCAACATGCCATCCTCAAGAAAATCACCCGAAAAACAACAACAAACCCAACTTAGCGAGGCGCTGAAATTAATAGAAAAATTAACCAAAACGGTGAGCGAGCTAACAAGGCAACTAAAAGAAGAAAGGGAGAGGAATGGAAAGGAGTCAGAAGTACTCATAAAACAAGCAGACCAGCGACCAACACTCAGGGCCGAGCACGAGCCAACAGCATCCACCACCAATCACCCCAGCCACCAAAAGGGTGAAAACGACCAACAACTATTCCACCTCAGAAACACTAGGTAAAAACGTAAAACCACCCCCAATTACCATTATCGACGCCACCTGCAAAATATCAATAGAATTAACAAGCAAAATAACTAAAAACTTCTTCACAAAAAAAATCAGCCCGAACAAGCACCTATTATACATAGATACCTCAGACGCGTACAAGAAAACTTGCGAAACCCTAAAAACACACAATATACAATATTACACCTACACACCAAAACAGGAGAAAAATATTTCTATACTTTTAAAAAATCTTGACGGTAACTTCTACCCCGAAACAGTATTAGACGAACTTCGCGCAAAAAACATAAACGGTATAAATTTTACATCGGTAAAAAAATTCGAGACAAAGAGATCACTGCCAGAAGGCAAAAATCTGCCTATATATATAAATATTGACAAATACATATACAAATACAGAACACCGGAATCAAACTACACAAAACTAATCAGCAACCACAAACTATACGAATACGCCAACATAACCAGAATAGACTTACACATACTAAAACTCATAAGAAACCACTGGGCAACATCAGAAACGTAACAAACAATAGTCTCATATACAGCTCCACATACCCGAACCCACAATACCACGAAAAGACACGACACACAGGATACATCCCACCAGAAGCATTCACACACCTCGACAGTCAAGGATACATACAGGACAAAGACAATACACCACTCATCTACCACACCACACGCAAAGCAGATAACAAAAAGATTCTCTACTCAATGGACATAAATGACAACGACACAAACACACGACTCAACTACAAACTCTCAAAAATAGATAAGAAAGACACACACCGACGTAACAAAAAGAAGTACTGGTGGTTACAACACTAACCACTTAACAATAATGAAACAAAAATACGAATAAACAAAAAACAATTGACACCAAATCCTCGTTAGTATAGTGGTCAGTATCTCCGCCTGTCACGCGGAAGACCGGGGTTCGATTCCCCGACGGGGAGGATTATTTTTTAGTTTTATTCTTTCTACTTCTACATCGTATATTACATATAATATTAATCTAATTTACTATAAACAAAAATATACTTCTTCCTCTCTCTTTTTTCCTGCTTAAACGATCAAAGATACCTGTTAGATAGCTCTTAATTATATATGTACAATATTAAACGATAAGCGCGGTGAACTAAGATTAGCATTAAGACGCAAGTGCTTAACATTAAACTGTACCGATCTCAAAATTGTTACTTCTTTCACTTCTTATTTTTTTTTTTTTTTTGTACATTTTGGTTCATTATACCTTTTGTATATATTGTTGTTTATTTTAATACAACAAACATATTTTACAAAGAAAGAAAAAGTGGCTATGTAGACTTCTCACCTGTCGATTCTCCGATAGTGAGTGAACATAATTTTTGTTAATAATTTTATTATGCTTTTATATGTAAGTAAACAATATAATTTATTGAGAATCGATGTTTAATATTAATGTATGTAATGTAATAATATGTAAATATTTTATCGATCTTTCGAACATAACCTCAAAAAAACTGTATAGGTTTCTGTTTTTACTGTTTTTATATCTTTAAAACATGTTTCCATATTGCTATAGTATTATGTATATAATTGACTAACATATGTAATAACGTTAATGACTACATACATTTCTTATTAATAATATTGGTCGGTGACGAACGAAGGCGCCGTGGCTTAGCTGGTTAAAGCGCCTGTCTAGTAAACAGGAGATCGGGGGTTCGAATCCCCCCGGGGCCTGAATTAATTAATTTTTATTTTTTGAACTATAATAAATTATCAAATAAGTATTATACATATAGTTACAGCATTCTGTAAAGCATGGAATATATTTTTAAAGTATAACAGTTCAAGTTGTAGAGGGAATATACATTGACACTCAATAGAATATTTAAGATAACTTTATCAAATAATCACAATATACAACAATGTTCATATGTACATTAAATTGATAAAAATAAATAAATACAATATAAAAGATGTAGAAAATATGAGTACTGTAAAATATACTTATATATATTAGAAATCAATTTTATAGCCATTTCCTGAAGCTTTCACTCTTGCTACTGTAGGTGCTGATGAATAAGCAATTCCTAATAAATTCTGAGCTTGTTGCTGCTGTTGTTGTTCTTCTTCTTGTTGTAACTGAATCTGTTCAGGCACCTGTGAATGATTACTATTAAACAGAAACCATATTTCAGTTTTGTACAATAAGCAATAAGGGTTATTTATGCATATGATTCTTACTTGTGCTTGTGCAGTTTGCACATGTTCTTGAGACTGAGCTTGAACTTGAGCTTGAGCTTGTCTTAATGCAAGTAACTGTGCTAATTGTGCTTGATAAGCTGCAGCTGCAGAATAACCTTGTTGTAACTGGGGTTGTTGAATTTGTTGCAATTGTTGGTAATAAGCTAATGTAGCTGGATCTACAGAAGCTTGGTAGGGCAATGGTGCAGGTGCAGGAGACACAAAAGTCGGTGCAACTGGTGCATTGGCATAACCATGTGCGATAGGACCAGCCGGAAATACACCTAAAGTACAATAAATTTATGTCAGTTGCGATTACTTTATGAAAGTATAAAACATGAGAAACATATTACAAACCTAAGCCAGGATTTCTATAAGCAAGTGCATTAGCAAGGTGTGGTAAAACTCTTTGTGCTAAATAAGGATTTCCAATACTGGAACTAAATGATTGATGAGAGCTAGGACCACTGAAAGCAAAGGCTGTTTGTGTTAAACCTGGTCTAACAAAACTGAAAGATGCATGCTGATCTGAAGAGCCAAGTACGTTTGTTGGTCTTACACCTTGAATGGGTGGTTCAGCTGATGCCAAAAGAAGCATAGCACAAAACAGTGTTATATATTTCTGAAAATGATAACTAACATTAAAATATGTAATGAAAATAATAAACTATTGAAACTTACCAACATTTTACACTTTTTTTTGTAACTTTGAAAGTTTCTCACTGGAATAAATGGCAGTATGGTCACTGACGAAAATCAACGCGCTATTCTACTGCTAAGATACTCTGTGGGGAGTTATATATCGCGGAAGCAGCCTGGTTGATACGTGAGTAGCATCGCATCGACACATTTTAAGACATACAATCACACTTTCTCCAAGTACCAAAATGGAACAATTCATGAATAGTAATCGTTCGATATAGTTTTCCCTTTTACAGACCACTAGGATACCGTATGATGTACAATAATTAAAATTAAAAAGAAATTGAAAAGATCAATAAATATAAATTCATTGAAGTTCTTAATATTTTTAAACATTCTTCAACATTATCAAAAAATTATTAATTGTTGTACATAAAATTTTAATGTATACTTTGTACAGAAATATATACAAGATTTTAATTACATACTTTTAAAACGAATACGTACAAGGCAGTGAAATATTTCTACTTGATTCACCTATGATTCGTAACATTATCGATGAAAGCTGCTTTCAGCTAGCCTAACGCGGTACTGATACGCAGACGAGTTATTAATTGTAATCAGTTTGTCGTCCGTGGAATATTAAATAACTTATTTTATTGGCAGTGATTCAATTTATTTATGTTTCGCACACATTCGGAAGCTTTGCTTATTTTTAACTGTAAAACGTTCTTAAATTTTTCATTTGTTCGTAAGTTTATGATATTTTGTAATTTTTAAGGCGTAAACCTTTATTAAGTACAGCTTCCAATAAAAATAATCGCAATGCAGACACAATCGTATTTAAATTTTAATTTTGAAATAGTATTTATACATATTATAATTGTAGCATTTTTATTGCTGCACATTATAAAATTTTTAAAGTTACTGTTAACATTTCTCTTAGACAGCCGCTATTGTGCATACCTTAATGTAGGTAGCATTTTCAAAATAAGTTCCTTTCAAGATACATTCGTTACATGATCCAATGGTTTCAACATCGACAAACCAATTGTGAAAAACGACGTTAATTTGTGCGAAATGACGTCAAATGTTCCCTTCTACATTTTACATACCAGTGAAGTATGATTGATAAAACATACCCATGGAGGTACTTGCAAACAATGCAAAACAACTCCACCATGTAGCTAAGCCTAATAATCCTCTGTATACGTCTGTGGTGAATATCTATCAGAAAAGACAAAAACAAATATTTTTTATTGTTATATATTGCTAGTTTTTGTTAACAATCAAATAATAGATGTATTACCTGTTTTAAGGAACTCAGAGCAAGTTGAAAATCTTGCGCTGTTTGTACAACACTTTTCTCGTTATCGTTGTCATTCATCAAACTCGATGCAGACTTTGGTGGTTCATCTGCTGGACACTCTTCAAGTGATGGCCCTTTTAAAAGACTTTCCCAGGTATAACCACCTAATAGATAATCATAGTTACAAAGTGATATTTACAATCAATGATGTGATGTATTAATATCTGTTTTACCTAGTGTTTTGTACATGAATGTAAAAAATAAACATATAATTATCGGAACAATAAATTGCAAAGCCACGACACATAAATAATAGAACACCGCGGCAATCTGAAACAAATTGTAATGAAAGAAAGATAATCTTTCTTTAATGCAATATTATAAATATTATTTTGTACCTTTTTTTGTAAATCCAAATTTGTAATCCTACCAGCTTCTTTCTTTTGATTCTCTAACCGTTGTACAGCTAAATTAAGGTATGATTGCAAGTACATTGGCATTAATACAAGTTTTAACAAAACTGCAGCAATAATTGCAATTAATCTCATGCTCTCAAAGGCTGAAGTTGTCATCCTGTAAAAATGTATCTTTATAAAGAAATTTATATAATTAAACATGTTATGATAATATTACAACTTACAAAGGTCCATTCATACCACTAAATATTCGAACTGTGAGGTAATCTCTGCTTATGGGTTTAATCCATAAACTTACTAATAAAAGTGGAGAGGCATAACTAAGATTTGCTATTAGTAATAATAACTTTTGATCCTTATAATATCTGCAATACATAATTTCTGTTAAATTGCATCAGTAGCTTAAAGATTTCTTTAAACTTATTACCTCAATGCATCCCAATGCATTTTTGATAATCTCAACCCTGGGAAAGTGAATAGAGAACCAAGTAAACCACACCACAAAGCAAGGAAGAACTTCACAACAATTTTTGATGCAGGTCCTCTACAAAACAAGTTATTTTGTGATAAAAGAGTGAAAGAATTAGTTCCTATTTAAATTTAGAATTTAACAAACTTACGTAGAAGAAAGACCTTGATTATTTAAAAACAAAGATGCACTGTGGTTGAAACTTGCATAAGCTTTGTCCAATCCAATTTCAAGATTGTTCTCATCAACAATAAGAATCATCATAGCTATGAGGAGGTAAGCAAAGCCAGTTACAATGCATGTAGATCTTTCACCTATGCTCTCCTCTCCTTTAAAATATTGCACCCAAAGAGAAAGTAACACTTTGCTGAGTATTGATTAAGGAAAACATGCTCAAAGTGTAAAAATGCATCTTTAAAGATTTAATTATAAAAAGGATACAATGAAAAACCCAGGACTAGTGAGCACCAGAGCATACTTAGGTTAATCTCATCTTTGATTGGATAAAAATAATTATATACCTGTTGTAAGTAAATGCAGATATAAAGTGTTATGTAAATATAAAGGAGAAAGAACTTCTATATGTTGAAAGAAGCAATTACCAACCTCTGTCATGATATAAACTGCAGCAGCATAGATAGAAAAATCCAATAGCCATTGATACTCTGTATAGTATTTTAAATGCACTACATCTAGTGTAGTTATCTTAGCACTCTCAAGCGTAATATCCAAATTTCTAGGAACATGAAAAACATCTGCAACCTTTCCATTTTCTGTATGCTTGCCTTTCTTGGGTTTCTCTTTAGGCACTCCAGCAAGAACTTTAAGCTGCTGATCAGTTGTACCCAGTAGAACATAAGATCCATCTTGCCAAGGAAAAATGCGGAGTTAATTTTTGAATGACACTGACCATAATAAGGGTGATAACTAATTGAGCTCCTAGGAGAGCCTGAAACATTTAATGCATATTTAAAAATGTATAGAATTTGTATATTTTCTAAATGTCATATGCAATTATATAGAAGCAGATTACCATGGTCAAATTGATGAAAAAATTTTAAACATAAAGGTGGAACCATCGATCTCACAAAAGTATTTGTTCCATCACGGGATTACTAATTTCTTGGTAATTTATTAATTGATGCTGAAAAACACAGCAATGAATTATCTGGTATTTAACGCCGTTAATGCGTGTTCGACCATTTTAAATGGCACAGAATGGAATAGCTCGTTTTATAAATAGTTGTAACCCTACAAAACCGAAAACATCGTAACCCTTTGCATGGGATATGAGGGTTATTTCCAGTTTTACCTATTCTATCTATAGAAAGAGAAGCTTGGTCCGGGTGACGGAAGTAGGAACATCTAGCGGAGTAATAACGAAACAGTACCTGTTACCAAATCACACACCATCGAATCAAACTTGTGCAATTTCTAATACCCGCAGGTGGACATGATTCGACTGCAGGAAGAATGCTGGTTTCACGATAACGTAAACTGAAAATAAATAATTACAGGTGAAGAAATCCTTAATAACACGTTGATGTGTAAACGAGCACGTTGAACATCTCACGTTATCACGTTTTTCATTTTAAACGAGGAACACCAAATGGACGCTAATTAAACGACCATTCTTATGCATCCCTTGTTAAAAAAAATTCCATAAATTTTTTATTCTAATAAATCCTCCAGCAAATATAAGTTAAACCAGCGTATCATAATTGTTCAAACATGTTAATTTATATCATCACATTAATAGATAGTTACTGAAAACTATCAATTAACAATCCTACGCGAATGCTTTAAAAATCTGATATGATCTTATCTTACGGGATTTCCATTCAATTGATCACGTAATAGTGTACTTATAAACAGAGATTTTCTCATTTGCATACCTACATAAATCAATTAGATGATTCATTTTGTATTAAAGTTGACACAAGCCAGTAGAAAATCAGCTCTAACAATAAGTGTTCTACATAATCTTAGTTGTATTGACTATCAAGGTATTGACTTATACGTGGCCCTTCTTCATTTTCGAATAAATATTCCAATTACATCACGTAAGATATATTCGACACTTATTTCATTAAGATAGTTTGTTTTAGAATAGCATTTTTCGAAAGTTACAAACAATTCCATAATCTCTGAGGCGCATCGACCGTGAATCTTCCTGTTCGGAGGAAAAACGCGCGCTGACCGTTTATTTAGAGGGACGAAAGAGGAAGAGTCGATATAAAAACAACAGGCACATCGGTTTGCGCGATCAAATCTGAAGTGTTTGCCGAGTGTGCACAACGTGAAAGATTCGTAAGTGTCTTGTGTACGTATATACATTTTCATCATTTTCTAATTTCTATTAAACAAAAAACGAAAGATGGAATTATTGAACAACTAGTGCGCATGATCAATGCAATATTTGATATTAATCGAAAACTGATTGTAAAATTGCATTTGCAGACGTAACATTTAATAATACACATATGTACATGCGATGAAATTTTTTTAAATTTGCCAAATTTTCAAAGAAAGTTTAGATTTAATTAAAAACAGTTTATTTAGCCCTTTCACTACGGCAGATTTTAATGCGTAACGTGGATGACTGACGGTAAATTTTTAACCACGACTGACAAAATTTGTTATTTTGGCTGTATCGTTTTAAAATTCAATGTATTAAATTAAGGTGGAAGTGTAGCAAAAGGCTCCAACGGTGTAGTGCGAGCAAAATTTCAAAACGCCTATAGGCGCCAATAGTAATGAAAGGGTTAGATAAAAAATTGTATTCATAAAAAATTATGTAACTGCGCATTGATTACGAAGGTATTGCGCAGATCACTTACAAAAAAATACATTGTTTTATTCAATCATTAATTATCATAATGAACACTTGACTAAGAAACCAAATACCGTATTCTTCTTGAACGTATTGAATTCCTTATAGAATAATGAAAGTAATTTAAAGGACAGCTAGATGGCATTGTTCTGAATGGCATTTCAAGTCATTCACAATTGCTTGCTTTAAGCCTTGCGCATCTTTCACGCATCACGTTCATTATGCTGCTATATGAAATACCTCGAAATAATACATATGTCATTACACAGGAAAGAACTAAAGATTATCATAATCGAATTGTATAAACAAATGAATCAATAGTATACCTATACTTCTTGTATAACCAGTTCCAAAAATCGATCATTTGTCGTTCCGTCTCACGATTATACGTGTGACTAAGCTTCGGACAAAAGATCGCTCCATATAAGATCAACCTACGTAGAACTTGCTGCTTACACACTTGCTAACACTAGTTCTTTGAAACGGCACTTGTAACTGTATAATTAAATTGGACAAAAAAAAAATCCAACGATTAAGTGAAATTCCATTAATGTTGCAGACTATGTGAATAATTTTTTTTTGTGAAATTTTATAACGTTGACATTGTGAAAAATAAAAAAATTCGATGCATTTCCGTTGCAGGAGTCAGCAAGCGAAAATAACAACGATGACGCCGATTTTTGTGGCTTCTGTTTTTCTATTTGCATTGACCTGCCCATCCTGCGCGCAGGCGAATATACCGGATTATACTCATTGTCAGAGTAACGCGGATTGTGCACCAACACAGTGTTGTACTATAGGTAAATCATTATGTTCAATTCGATAAAAAAAAAAAGGTAACTAATACAAAGTCAACGAATAAGGATGTTAATCACTCGTGCAATACTAGGAGGAGCAAGGTACAGTATACCAGAATGTAAGGCCATGCAAGAAGAAGGGGAGGTATGCAGACCAGGCAATCCTTCGACATTGAATGTGACTCTTGGATATCCCGATGGTTCTGAAATAACGCTAAAAGATGTCCACTTCATCTTCTGTCTTTGCGCCGATGGATTGTCATGCGACGTCAAAGAAGGTATCTGCAAGAAAACTGGCGAAAAGCGTGATACAAATCGTTTAACCAATGAAAATAAAAAACGCGATGATTAATGCTAAACTAAGAGGAAATAATTTCGTGCAAACATATGTCGCAGTAAACGATTGAGTGAAACGAACAGTGATAATAAGTAACCAAACCGTGGAAAATCCCGGCATATGGTTTGTACTAAACTGTATAATTAAATTGAGAACCAAAGGATTATAGTATTTCTAACCATAAGTTAAAGCTTACTACATAGATAAGAATTGCAATTTCCGTAACGTATGTAATCGTAATCATTGACAAAGAAAATGTACGATTTGAAGTAAATTAAATAAAAATAATGAGCAGTTAAATATTTTTTCTGTTGTAATTGGTAAGGTAACATTGTGACTATCAAACGCTATTTGATTCAAAAAGAATCACTTTAAATGTATTAACAATTTATATTTGTAATGTACGATCATGTATAATTAATGGACAAAAACAATGTATTAAGTTAAAAAATATTATTTAAATATATCCCCTTGATGACAAAATCTTCTAAACCGACGGTGGTAATGTTTGGTAGGCAATTTTATTCATACGGTTGACCATCTTTGTTACATTTTATCAATGACGTAAAAGTTTTTCAACATTGTCTATATAATTTATTACAGTTAGAAGTTGAATGTAACGTTTTGGTACTTTGTGTAAATATCTGTTAAGAAACGTATTTTAAAAAAGTAGTGTATTTTACGGTATGGACAGTCAAGTATGTGGAGACGGTAGATTATTAGATTTGATCGATGAGATTTGGCATAAAGAACGTTTGCCTATTGATGATATTTTAGTACCAGTAGCAGAATTACCTGATCCTGAAAATGACAATGGTGATTCTCATATGACACTGAAAGAATTAGAACAAAAGTGGAATAATCTAGCTTTAGGAACCCTCAGTGAAAATCATTTACATTCTCCAACACAGTCTCACAATTAAATAGGTAATAGCTGTTATATTTAAATGCTTTGAACATAACCATTATTTCAATGATTTACATAGATATTCATATTCTTTTTATTGTAGATACAAAAATGGAATTTCCAAATGTTGGAGAAAGATGTTCAATCAAGGATTGTAAACAATTAAATTTTTTACCATTTGAATGCAATCATTGCCATGATATATTTTGCAAGGAACATTTTCATATAGGTTCTCATAAATGTTTGGGTTTCCATGATAAAATTACATACACTAGAGTAAAGGCACCAAACTATACATGTTCAGATGAATCTTGCAAACAAACTTCACCTATTGAAATGCATTGCATCAAATGTAAAAAGCATTTTTGTTTACAACATAGATATCATGGCTGTTTAGAGTATTCTAATGAAGAAAAAACAACAAAATTAAAAAAATGGCAAATACCAAAAAAACAGTTTGCAGAAGCAAAAGCAATAGTGGATCAAGAAATTTCAGATACTTTAAAGAAATCCAAAAATACAGCAATGGCCAATAAAGTATGTTAGTGTTTAAAATAATTTAGAAATGTTGTTGATATGCGTATTATATTTACCAGACATTATTTAATTAGGTAAGATTAATGCGTATAAAAGGTTCTGCTGTTGGTCCTAAAAATGTACCAATGAATGAAAGATGTTATTTTCTTGTCCATCTTCCAACCACAGTATCTAATAAACATATAGGACCATCAAAAGGTATTTATATAAACATGAATTGGACAGTTGGGAAAGCTATAGATTCAATAGCTGATGTACTGAAAATATCCAATAATAATAATGTAGCAAGTGCATGTAAATTACAATTATTTCATCACTCAACTGGTGCATTGATATGCAATGACATGGATACAGTACTGACAAAATTATTTGAAAATTCTGAACTTATTGATGGAGAGAGTGTTATTTTAGAATATTCAAACAACATGACTGTAGATACTTCTTTATATAAATAAACATTGACAACAATGATAACAGCTCTACTTTTTTTCTATTCATTGTTAGAGCATGATTTACAAGTATACATAATTAATAGACTGGTAGTGATAAGAACACAATTTAGAATGATATTTGTTTATTACAAACTAGATGGTTTCATATATCAGTTTTACATTTACTCTTGATAAAAAGACACGCAGATGTACTGTGTATGCAGTTAATGAACAAATCATTGACATCAGATTATTGTCGGGTTCGTTTTAAATATATGATAAAATGAAACTTTGACTTTGGCACTGAACGTTTTTTTGACTTACTTAAATTGTACTAATATAACATAATTAAAGAATCAACAATATTGATTCAAAAATAACTAAATGCTTACTAATAGTTTTATAATATGCTTATATAAATGTTAAAAAAGATAAATATAGAGCAAGGGAGATATTGAATTATATTTTCAACCATGTGCGTCTTTTAATCGTATTGTTATTTTATTACATTTTGGCGTATTGGGATAATTGTTACTTGTTACAAAAAACGTAAAGGATTTACTGAGCAACACACACGGTGAAACGTCTTTACAATTATGTAAATATATCGAAAAAAAATTAATATAGAAAATTGTAAATCTTTCATAGATTGTACCTACGTTATAAACTATATAATGTAAGTCTTTTATAGAATATTTAAAGGCTTGATGTTTTTAATACTTGTAATACTATTACATATAATGTGCGAATAATGCTTTACGATCTGGTGCAAAAATGACCAACATATGAGATTCAATATTATGCAATCGCTTATTTGTTAATAAATCATATATACGAAAAAATCGGTCACTAATGTTAAATAAAAATTTCTCTTTACATATGAGTAGATTTTGCTACAAATTTTATATGTATAATATTCAGTCTCAGGTATACTTTTAAATAGAATGCTATTATTTTAGAAGTAACAAACCTGTAACTTTGCGAATTATGTAAAAATTTGGAAAAGAAAATATATGGCTATATTATTCAACAATTTTCCTCGATAAAGATGTAGAATTAATCGATAAAGAAAACAATCAAAAATATAGGTATAAAAATAGAGCATATGTTAAAAAAAGTAAAAGCTAACCTTTGCTTATATATATGTGAAAATAATTTTTGAAATAAAGAACAAGTCTGATCAATGAAAGAATACAGAGTATGTATACAGAGATCGCGAAAAGAACAAGTAATGTCATACGAACATTCACATTTGTTTCATTATCTTGGTTTCTTGTCCGGTGTTTTAGCAAGATAAATTACAAATAACTGACTAAGAGCTATAGTCAAGGCAATACCCGCTATTGTATATAAATTACGTTCTGCCCAACTTCTCACAATTTCAATACAACCACTAGTCCATACTTTCTTGCCTGCTTCAGATACTGGCAGCATTTGTACTTTATAGCCACACATGATATTCACAAGACCACTCTAAAAATTTAAATAATGCCTTCAATGATATGTTCTTATTTACAACACATAATAACTACTTACTGATATGTCTGTAGCATTAATGCAACAAGAAAATGGTACACCACAGCGTTCTACACTAGGACTGGAGCAATTAAAATATTCATTCTTTCCCCAATCCAAATATCCTTCTTGACTTAAACCACAGCATTTAAACTACTCATTAAAACATTAATTCATTTAATGTGATTAATTTTAATAATATATCTTGATAAGCATTCTTTTATAATATTTCTTACTTCTTGTTGTCCAAAATCAATAAAATTTTGTAAATCAGGATCTTCTCGATATGTTTGTATAATCTTATCTGTGAATGATTCCTCCAACAAAGATTGCAATGTATGTGGAAATACAAAACCAACAATTGCTATACCCATTTCAAGCAGGAAGAATACTAATAGACATAATGAATACTGTAATAAACAAGTATTGTAATGTAAATCAATAAATTACTAAATGTAACAATATAGTTAATAGTACTAACAAATTTTAGAAGACAAGTATTTTCACGCAATGCTCCAACACATCCTGCAAAACTGACAACAAAGACTACACCTCCTGCAATAACCATTACAAGAGAAATATTGAGAACTACATCATATACAGTCTCTACTCTAACTGAACCAGTTGCTTGCCATTTGTCCACAAATGCATATAAACCTACTCCAATTAAGAGTCCTCCAAACAACTGCAGAAAAAATATTATGTATAAAATTTCATTCATTCATAACAAGTATTTATTTACAAATATTAATCTTGCTTAATTCTTCATATATCCACTTATAAATTGTAATAATGACAAGGGAATAAATTAGATAAAAAATACACAATATTCACTTACCCAAAAAACAAAATTGAGCATAAATATCATATACTTCACACAAGAACTAACATAAGTGAAGTTACTTGTTCTCCTCCGGTTATTCATCATTGTAAAGTAGAAGCAGTTTTGAAGATATTAATTGGTATATACAAGAGACTCGCACTTTTAGTTATATGTACAAATTACATCGATTGCATTACTAATTTAATAACTACGTATTCAACGCATATTTATTATTTTTTCACTTAATGGTCGATGAATTATATTTGATCGTTTATAAATTAAAGCAAAAGTATAATGAACCATACTTTGACAGCTTACTTTGCATCCGCCATTACACTTCTATTTCTCGTATTCCTTGGGTTTAAGTTTGAAATCAGCTGTCCACACATTCCACGTTTCAGCGGAATAGACGGAATGCGTGTATGTTTAATGCATTAAACGTGAAAAATTGTAAACGAAGAAATTTGTAGTGCTTTATATACTTTTGAGCTTTAATACTTTTATGTGTACACATTAAGAAACAGATAAAGTTTACTTTCAGAAAAATGACATCCGTACAAGACAGTAAGTTTACTATGTATTTATTACAGTTTGGGATTTGGAGGTTAAGAAAATTATTAAATGTTGCTATATATTTTCTAAGTTTAAATAATAATAAATCACAATACATGTAAACAACAGATTATGTTCAACATATTGACATTTCTCGTATTTACTTTAAAATAGTATTAAAAGTAATAATACCGTAAATGTTGGCCTATTGTATGTTTTTTAACATATAAAATATTTATGTTTTAGGATTAAAACTAAAAAGATCTTATGATAATTGGAGTACACGTGAACAACTATGCTTAGCTTCTAGTGTATTAAAATCAGGAGATCAAAATTGGATGAGTGTATCGCGATCATTAAAAACATTTATTGAGAAAGAAACATTAAGGCCACCTGACTGGTTTTCTCAAAAATCTTGTGCTATGCAATATGCACATTTATTGGAAAATGCAGATACTCCCAAGAGAAAAAAAAGGGAAAGTGGAGAAACAACAGGTGAATCAATAGTTAGGAGGTTAACACAAGAAAGAATAGCTGAATTAGGGCAAATTTTAGCTTTTCAAAGAGATGAATACCAACAACTTAAAACTGAAATGAACATATTAAAATCTGGGACAATAACAGAAGACAAGTTACAGAAGATGTGGCTTGCAATTGAGCAAGAAGAACGAGAACAAGAACAAAAGGCAAGAGCACATTCTGCATGGTTAGCAAAACGTCAACAAAAGCAAGAATTAACTCCACCTCAAACACTATCTGCTATAAGTCAACGTAAATCTACAGAAAATACAGTAGAAATTCAAGAAACAGCAGAAACTGTAGATGAAGATGAAAAGAAAAATAGAGGAGGACGGTCACCATTATTAACAAGTTTATTAAAATCACCAAGTCCAACAACACAAATCCAGACTTCAACTACTACAGCACAAGTAAGCTCTCCTACAATTACAAGTCTGCTTGGTTCTAGCCCTAAAGTGCCAAATTCTCAACTGACACAAAATGTGTCACCACAATTGCATCAACTAGTTACTTCTGCAATTTCAAATGTACCATCAGAAAGACCATCAGTTGGTGCACCAACCTTATCCATGTTATTAGAAATGCCAGCTAATGCACAAAGAGGTCCCTTACCTAATTTACAATCAACTCCAATTGTGTCTCAACAAAATGTGCCTACTGAAGTTCATAACATTCAACCACAACCCATTCATCAAGTAACAGTTCAAAATGAAACACCTGTAGCTGCTCAACCACTTACAATTAATGCACCAAATATTCAAGCTACGGAAAGTATGGTACAGATTATAGATCATATAGATGATGTAATACGTAAAGATATAATGGCAGATGTAATAGACAAAGATGAAATTAATGAAATTATTGGAGATATAGAAGAGTTAATAAAAGAAGAAATAACTGGGAGTCCACAAACTTTAGATACAGCTACACCAACAATTAATACTATTACTGTACCCCAAATTCAAGAAGTACCAGTGGTGACAGAACGACCAGAACCAAGAGATGTAGATGAAGTTGTGTCACTTTGTAATTCACCAGAAAGTGAAATGGCTATTGAAGAAATTGATTCCAGTACATCAAATATTGCAGAAATTATAGGAACAGTTGCTATTGAACCACAAGAACCTAAAGTTATTGTTACTGAGATATCTGAAACTATAACAAATACATCTGAAGAAGTAAAATCTGAGGAAAGTACTTGTGATGAAAGAGTAGCATTGAATGAAGAACTTGTTCCTGAATTAGAGACTCAGGATGGTGAAAATAGCAAAGATACTCAATTAGAAGAAAAGCAAATGGTTGAAGAATTTGACACTATGGATTCTACTTCAAATGTGGAAGCTGACGAAAATGACACAAAAATGCCTATAAAAGAATTAATAGATGAAGTAGTAGAAGATGAAATGGAAGAAGAAGAAGAAACTGAAGTAGTTGTACCACCAGAAGCTAAAGAATCACCTTGTAATAAACTGCAAAGAGTATCTACTGAAGAGATAGAAAATAAAAGCAATATGGAATTAGACCAATTAGAAATGCACCTTGCTAAAATAACAGGTGAACAGCAGGATGTTCCATCAGCAGAAGTTGTTAGTGTTTCGTCTGAAGTAACAAATGATCTTCCTAGCACTGAAGATACAGAAAAATCCCAAGACATTAGTTTAATTTTAGAAGATGATGAAAGTAGTTCAGATGATAAAAAGAAAATAACAGAGGAACAGATCATAGAGAATACTATTGAAAGTACAGAATCTATGGAATCATTCAAAGAAGAGCCTATAATTGTAGTAAAAGAAAAAACTATTATAGAAGTAAGTGAGGAGTCTCCAGAAAAATCTCAAGAGGAACAGACAGAAGAAGCTTTAGAAATTTATACAGATGAGTTTAAGAAGGAAGATACAAAAGATTCTTCAGAAGATACAACAAGCTCTATTCTACAAGACATAGAAATTAAGGAAGAAGAAATAGAGGAAACAGCAATTGTAGAAGATCCTAATCAATTGGTGTCTGCAGAAGAAATAGAAAGTTTAAAAACAGAACTTGCAGAGCCTATTAAATCTGAACCTGATCTTTCCATTGTTAAAAAGGAGGAAACTGCATATGTGGAATCAAAAGTAGGAGAAGAATCCAAAATTCCATTGGAAAACACTCTCATACCAGAAATAAAAAAAGAAGAAATTCAAGTAAAAGAAGAAAAAGAAGAGAGAAAAAATGTTGATAGTGAACCACGTGTAAAAAAGGAACCAGAATCTATCACAAGTGCTGGAGAAGATACTGTTGAACTAGATGAGGAAGAATCATCACTAAGCAAGTTAAGTGGAGGACGTGCTATGAAGACTTATTCAAAGAAGCAAAATGTTTCTATTGACAGTGAACCTGAAAATGAAGGTACTGGAGAAGGTGCTGATTATAGAGCATGGAAAAAGGCAGTCATGTTAGTTTACAATCGACTTGCTACACACAAATATGCATCTGTGTTTTTAAGACCTATTACAGAAGATCAAGCACCTGGATATCATTCAGTTATATTTAGACCTATGGACTTATCCACCATTAAAAAAAATATAGATAATGGCACAATCAGATCTACAATGCATTTTCAACGTGATGTTATGTTAATGTTCCAAAATGCCATTATGTATAATAAACATGATACATTTATTTATAAAATGGCAGTTTCAATGCAAGAAGAATGCCTACAGCACATGCAGGTAAAAATCTAAAACATATTTTATATATAATTATTATTACTTACAGGAAATTTTACAATATTGAATTGTGTTTAGATATTAGTGCAAGTCACAGGGGAGGGCACACTCAGGAGGGAAACAAGAACTGCAGCAAGCAGTAGTAGTGAGGCTAGTGAAAGTAGTATAAAAAGAAAACGAAGCCACATTACACCTAGTCCACATGATACTGACAGTCCACGTTCAAAAAAACGTAGAAAATCAGAAAATGATTAGGATACTTTCCTGTTTATGTGTATACATATGTATAATGTGATATACGTTAAAGTTCGCGAGAGCTTTATTGAAAAAAGGAACGGAAGGATAAATATGTCCTGTTGGCATTGCAGGGCAATGTTGGACATGAAAAATGTTTAAGGTGTATGTGAAGAAATGTGGTGATTTCATATTCTATTTTATTATTTTCCCATGACAGTAAATGATATAATAACAGGTATTATATTAATAATTACAAAATTGGTTCCATTTCTCTTTCCTTTTTTGACATGTTATGATAACATAATAAATGTTTTATGAGCAATAAAATTAGTCATTTATAAAACATTGTTTTGGAAAAAAGTTGTCATTTTTGTTCTAATAAAAATGTAATAAAAACGATTTACAAATTGTAATTTCTTTCTCTTAAAAATATGTTAAATAACAAAAGAAATATATTCATAAATTTTTCAAATTGTAGCTTATACAATAATGTAATTTGTTCTACAATAAAAAAAATGCCTACCATTTGTTCTAAATGACTCTTACAAACATTTAAATTTTATACACATAAAATGAATGAAAATTTACCAGTATATACAAATCTATGAAAATAATAAGATTTTGCAATTGTACGGCCATAAAAATTTAAATAAAATTCATAATGGGTTATCATGCCAGTGGCGATACACGAAAAATGATACAAAGTTCTGATGATGACGAAGGTTATGAAAATCAATCATCTAATACTAGAATATCCGTTAAATTAAATCAACCCGATGTCAGGAATAAACATTTTACATTCGGAATTTCTCAAAAAGTTGTAAGTTATTGTTATTAGAAATATATGCAATATGTTTTTTTCTTTCTTTTTTTATTTTAAGTCTCCGGCACCGATACTATCAATGTCAGATGATACTGATCGGCCGTTTTGGGCTGAAGATGAATTAAGTAGTTCAGAATCAAGACAACAATTAAACAAGAAACAGAAACGTCGGCATAGTTTGTCTTATCGTAATCGTATTGCAGTGCACAGAAGTCGATCTTTACTTTTACAATCATCAAGTTCTAGTTTAGATTCAATATCTGAACAAATTTCAGAAGAAGGTATTTGTACTGCAAATATAAATAATATTCTTTATTTTAAAATTCAAAACAAGCATGTAAGGATTATAAGTTGCGTGTAATTCTAACATAATTACTACAGTTTCTAAACAGGAACGATTTACAAGACGGTTTAATATAGAACAAAAACCGGGATATAGTAATATAAAGAAAAAATATGCACGAAAAAAGGGATCTTCTTCTTTAACCAACGATAGAAATATTTATACAAGATACAAATATTTCGATAAAAAGCAAATGCGGAAACATAATCAGTTTTTAGGGAACAAAACATTTCGTCCATAAATTATTTGACGCCATCCTTAAAAGCAATTTCAAGACTAAATTTTTTAAGTATTGAGGAACATGAGTACATTAAACCAAATTAAATTGCAACATGTATTTATGATTTTTAAAAAGATTTATATGAAATATAATTAATTAATAAAATTGTATTGAGAAATTTATAGTAGAAGTCTGTAGTCGAAGTTAAATTTATCATGAATTTACATTCTACGTATAATTTATGATTGCTGGAAATGGTAGTTATTAAACTACTTAACAGGTAGTTATTAAACTACTAAAGTGTATTTGCTTTCTACTAAAAATTAAATAGTAATTATATACACTATTTTTTGACAAATACAACGCTTTTAACATGAGTTACTTTATAACCAATAATCAAGGTAAAAATCAGTATGGGAGGCTTGATGAAGTTCGAACCCGTAAGTTATTTGATTAAAATTATTTTACTGTAAAATTATTTTTTAATATGTACGATATAATTTAGGAAATGTGCACTATGACAAACATTTTATTTATTTTTATATGAAATTAACATTGTGAAGTTGTATATATGTACATATAATACTACCGCCATATTATACATCACATTGCACATGCCTGCGTGTTATTTGAAATTAAAATTTTTAATTATAGTTTTTAATGGATTGTACATAAAAAAATTTCATTTCTTTTTAAATTTCAGAATCAAGAATATATCCCGCTTTTAGTTTAACAATAGTGGGTTTTTGTGTCATATTTTTGTTACTATTAGCATGGAATTTAAATAACACAACAAATCAGACAGTTAATACTCGAGTAATTTATTTAAATTCAAGACATTTGCTTTTACGAACAGTATCAAATAAATTCTTATCATTTGGTCTTGATACATCTTTACTTCGTGATATGAAAAACTTTCCAATTAAGAGCAGTAAATTCATAAATTTAGCTCGGCACCTTGCACCGGCTTATGCACAAATAATTTCCGAGAAAATAATTAGCCCGGTGGATGACGCTGACATAAGTAATTTTACAATTAATGACATAGATTTTGAGAATATATATAATTTTGCAACAAAAGCAAAATTGCGAATGATCTTTGATATAAATGTATTAATCAGAACTGTAAATGGTTCCTGGGATGACACTAATGCCAAAGATATAATTTTATTTGCTAAGAATAAAAATATGAAATTAGATTGGCAACTAGGAAATGGTAAGATTATATGTTATACTTTATTGGCTTATTTGTTTATTGTATTTAATGCATAATATACATATACAATTTCAGAACCAAATTCCTTCAATCATGTATTTAATATAACTATTACTGCAACTCAACTTGCAAATGATTATTATAAATTGAGACAATTGTTAAATAAAATGGGATATAGTGAAAGTATTCTTGTGGGTCCAGAAGTAAACCATGTAGGAGATATAAAACATATGGGAGAACATTATGCAGAAACATTCTTACAAAATAATAAAAATAGTGTAGACTATGTTACATGGCATCAATATTACCTTAATGGAAGGGAAACTAAACTAGAGGATTTTATAAATGTTTCAACTTTTAATCTTTTACCAATGCAAATTAAATCTATGAATGAAGCAATCCAATTATCAGGAAAACCTATGTGGTTATGTTTGTAATTGTAGTATATATTTATCAATTTCTTTTAAATAAAAATTCAAATTTGATGAATATCTTCTTTGTAGCAGAGACAAGTACAGCTTATGGTGGAGGTGCTCCAAAACTGTCAGATAGATTTGTGGCTGGATTTTTGTGGCTTGATAAATTGGGATACAGTGCAACTGCAGGTGTAAATGTTGTTACAAGGCAATCATTGTTGGGTGGATATTATGCTATGATTGGGCCTGATATTATGGCAAATCCTGACTGGTGGATTAGCGTAATTTATAAGCAGTTTGTCTCGGAAAAAGTTTTACAGCTATCATCTACAGACCGCAGCTCTCTTCGTTTTTATGCACATTGCACTCCTAAGAATGCTTTAATTGATAATATTCCAGCAATTACGATATATGGTGTTAATATAGATAAATTAGCTATTCCTATCATTATTGAAGGAATTCCTGTGTATCATAAAAATGCTAAAGTATACTTATATGCACTTACTTCTGACAGTTTACAATCAAGGTATATAATAGTTATTATTTTACATATATAAGTTATGAAAGATAGTTTACTCTACTTTAATTATTTTTAGATCTATACAACTAAATGGAAAAATATTACAATTGCTACCTAATGGCAATTTACCACCATTTCAACCTATAGTATTAGAACCCACACAATTAATTACTTTACCACCTTACTCTATGGTATTTATTGTGGTACATGGTGCAAAAGTTCCCGTATGTAATGTATAGATAATATACAATGAATCCAATTACACAGTTTTATATTAAACTTTTTTATACATTGAAAATTTGTATTAAGCGCTTCATAAAACAGTAACAATAAAGCAACAATAAAGAAAGAAAAACCAATGAAAATTAATAAAAGGATTAAAGTTTAGAGTGATTTTAAAAAAAATATATGTATATGCATGTATATATATTATACGTGTATGTATATATATGTATATGTATGTAAACAACTACATTAACACTATTTAATATGTATACTTCATTATAGTCAACACAGAACATACTATAATACAGAAAATGTCAGATGAAATTGTTTATAAATTTTGTCAATTTCAATCAATTATATAACAACATCGTTCTATTATTGAAAGATGCAGTGGCATATTTACTTATTTATTCACTAATACATAGTATTGTGTCCTTTTATCATTATAAAACAAAGTTTTTTTTACAAATTATACACTGCAAATACTATGGAAAGAAACTCTATCATATACAAAAAATATACAAATACTGAAAATAATACATAATGTTAGGTAAGTGGAATGATTAAGTTTATCATCTTACAGCAAAATGTTATTGCATTCAATTGAAATTAATGTTACAATTACATATACTTGCAAAATTTATAACATCAGAAGTACTGTAAACCATTCTTAATGTACATTATACATACATAAATTATCAGCATGAAACTGAAAATCTATTTCAAAATTTATTAGGTCACAACTACTATGGTATGTATATACATAATATCTGTAACAATTTAACATTACTATATTATTCCTGAGCTGAAACAGTAATTGCTTTTCCTTTTGGATCATCAAATCTATCCATTGTACGAATATCTATGATCATAGCAAGACCCCAAATCATAATTAAAGCTAATATGGCAGTAACAAATATTCCAGTCCAAATTGGAATTGTAGTAAAACCAACACAATCATATGCATCACTAAATGCTTTTGTGCTATTGTTGATATTCTGTTGTGCATCTAGTTGCACTTGTAAATCAGCAATTTTCAAGACAGTAGAACCTTTCTTGAACATAACATTTTGTGAACAATGATAAGAAAATTTAAATGGAAAAACAATATCTATATTTGTTGTTAAACTCTGTTCATTGTCAGGAGTGTTTTTGCTGGTGTAATATGAATAATTAATTGTTTTAAGTGTGTAATATCCTGCAGTTTTAACTTCAAACATAAATACAAGTTTATGTTTAAGAATATTTGCATCAGTTCCATTAAATAGCAGGATTAAATTAGCAGAAGATTTTTTTGTGCCTGGTTCATCACTAGCTGTAAGCTTAAGTGGAAGTTGTATTTCATCTTTCCCTTCAATCTATGAAATACAAAAAGGAAATATAAGAAATATACTGAATATTAAATTATGATTTTATAGTAGAAAGCTGATGAGTAATATTACCTTTAATGACAATGGTTGACTAGAATATAATAGCACTCTGTTCGATGAAACAATAAAATGCTTAGAAGCATCCTTTCCAGGAGTATCTCTCTTTATTCGTTCAGAACGTCTATAACTACATGATTTTCCTGTGAGAAGAGCTATTAAATTAGGACTGGAGTCTTTTATTGTCTTATATGTTTCTGGAATAATATCTAAGTTACTAATTGGCACAATCAATAATTGTCCATCAGATACTGAATCCACATAATCATTGTATGTTTGATTGTATGAAGGTAAATCTTCAACAGTATTCACTGCTTTTTCAACTGCAGGAAAATAACGCAAAGAATCACCAGTAACAACCTTTTGAAGATGCTGCAATGTTTAAAAAATTCTATTAATATTTAAATCTATAAATAAATGAGTTTAACTTAACACAGTCCAAGTGCACCATAATAACCTCTTTGTGCTGCACTAAATCTTCGATGCACAGATTATCTTTTACATAAAGAAGAACTGGAGGAGAATTTTCTAACTTTTTGCGCAGAAAAAGATCAAATTCTTCGCTGGTAGTCTTTAAAAATGGGTTCACTGCACTTATTGCTAAATCAGAATTAACTGATCCACCCCATAGCAATACAGGTACCGCATTATCGGCGTGTGAAGGTAAAATTTCAAATGCAATGGTTAACACAAGAAAAAGATAGAAAATACTGCGAAACCGAGTCATGATGCTTTTTAGTTAGACAGAACTGGGCGAGTCAGATAAGTACTGATCGACTACGATCAAGCAGAAGGTAGCACCTGACTAGGCTAGAATCATATGACAGACGTCACGTGACAACTTTGTTTCCGGATTTCAAATAAACATTCATTTTAAATTGAACCGATTTATTTTGTAAAATTATTAATTTAACCGAATACAATTGCTTTACAAAAATAAAATGTTCACCGATATTATAAATCCTTTGATAAACATTTAAATTATTAAGAACGTCATGGATAGTCATAAAAATGGAGCGAAGAAGGAAACTGTTATGTATTCGGTACATACTTATACAGGTTTAAATACCAAATAATAATTGTATTAATTAATTACTGTATAATTAGCAACTCCAACCATGGAGTACTGTGGGTGTACTTCCTTGTATGGAACAAATTGCCGGTCCACCGATTTCGATTAGAGTTGGAGAATTCTATAAAACTCCCAAACCACATTCCTGGCGACCTACTTTAGGATATGAAACCGTAGAAGCATCTCCATTGTAAATTAAACAAGAATTCATTTTAAGTTATTTGTATAAATTATTATTTTATTTATAGTTCTTTGATCATTATTTTAGACCCTCTCAACCTGTCACAAATTTATTTGCTGATACCTGTTACATGCCAAAAGGAATGGCCACAGAACCATTACGATTTCCAAATTTGGTGACTGGCTTCGATAGAAATCCTGCGCATGCAGCGCGGGCTGCACTCTTTACAAGATATGGCCCATACGAATGGGTGCAGAATCAACTAAAGCTTTATAACGAAGCGAATAGTAATAGAAATTTTTCTGAAAGCTTACGTCAGGATACTGTTCGAATGATGCGGTAAAAAGATTCTGACGTTTTACAAAATACAAAGCGATATATTAAATATCAGCAATCCGCATTTAAATGAATTATGACGTAACTTTAGAGAGGCTGATGAGAAAATACAAAATGGTCAAACAGAAACAGGTAGAAAATTAGGGGAAAGAATTACGGATACCACTTTTTGGAGAAACGAAGTAGCTTCGGAATTGGAGCGATTAATAATAGAAAATACAAAGATGCAAGAGTGTCGTCGTGACTTACAAACGACGATACAAAGTTTAGAGGGTCAATTGCACATAGCGCAAGAGTGTTTATATTATCGCGAAGCTAGAACAGGTTTAATATATTAACCTCTAAATTAAAAATATAAAAATACATACATCCTGAAAGTATATTATACTTTTTGAAATACACATAGGTTCTGACTTGGTTCATGATCAAGTCGAGCATGCTCTTCTACAAGAGGTGGAAGTAGTTAGAAATTGTCAAAATAAATTAGAACATTTTACGGATAAATGTATTAATCAGGTAAGTGTGAAACTATAACTATATGCAGAGCATTGCAATTCTTTGCTTTATATTCAGCTTACAAATAGTAGAGCAGTACAGAATCAACTAGAGATTGACATAAAGAATAAAGAAACTGCACTTGGAATTGATATTACATGTCATCAAATGAACAATTTTAGTCGTGGATTAAAATATTACGGTGGCATTGAGAAATATGATAATAGGTAATTGACACAATTAATCTACGATTGTATTAATTTCAAGTCGCGTTTATAATTTACGCTGTACAATTTTTAATTTGAAGCGTTACGGAAGCCGAATCTTGGGTTGAAGCTTCCGATAATGTAGTGAAAAAATCACAGACAGAACGAGCAAGATCTAATCAATTACGAAGCGACATAGAAATCGCGATAAACGCAGTTGGTCATGAAATGTGGGAAGCGTGGGGAAATACAAATAATGCTTTGGCCAGAAGGGCTGCAGAAATACTAGAAGCAAAAGAGAAATTACAAATACATTTACATAAAGTAATTCAAATTATTTGGCTTCTAAATTTTTGTTACTTAATTTGTATTTACAACTTTAGATTCAACAAGAAATCTTTGAAATTGAAAAGAATTTGCAATTAATGCAAAAAGCCATCGCGGATAAAAGTTCTGCTCTCAAAGTCGCACACACTCGCTTAGAAAGTAGAACTCATCGACCTGCAGCAGAATTATGTAAAGATTACGCTCAGCTCAGGTACATTCGAGAATTTTATAAACCTTAATGATCGCAATTGTAAATATTACATATTGGTTACATATTCATGTAGAATGATCGAGGAAGTAGAAACGATAAATGCAATGATACACGATATGAATTTAAAATTACAAAGATTTGAAGCGCAACATCAGCAACTTCTACGTACTAGAACTAACTTAGAGGGTGATTTAAAATCTAAAGTCGACTCATTATTTATCGATAGAGAAAAGTGTATGAGTATGCGAAGAAGTTATCCAGTTGCATCAGTCATTAAGTTTTGAATCGGAATTGTATGGCAGGTTCTAATCGTGAGTGTATTAAAAATTACAGCACTCGTTTGTTATATTTATTTTTTATAATATCATACATAAGTATATTTCTTTTCGTTAACATTAATAAAAAAATCATTGGTACTCAATTCAATAGTACACAAGACTATTTTTAATAACGAAATAAGTCTATAATATTTTTTTGGTGTACAGTAATATCATATGAACCGCTTGTACATTATTCGTACATTACCCTATAACTCAAATCTAAAATTTAATTGTACCATATTATGATTTTATAATTATTCACCAAGTTTAGACGTAGAACAATTTGTAAATCTTCAAATTTACATGTTTTAATGTACATGAGAATTAAATCTTATTTCACACTTTTAAACAACTATGTACAAAGCTCTATAATAACTTGTCTTTTTGTAAAAAAATAGTACATTATAGAAATACGTTCTTAGTTTGGGTTTTTCGTCCACTTAAAAGTTGCTATCGTATCGTGAACTTTCGTTACAGCCGAGTCTGCATCATACTCGTCTTTCAGATAGAAAATTCTAACATTCTCTTGTGGATGACATTCCAAAACATTCCATTTTTCGAATAATTTTAAAGAGTTCTTTATTGGATCAACGCACAAACTCTCACCTATTTGAAAACAAAATTAACAATACATTGATAGCCATACGTATTATAAGAAGAAGTTATTTGCTATTACTTACCGTAATTAATTAAACCACGATCAAAATTTGTTTTTAGCTCACTTAAAACTTCATGAACTAGATCCCTTTCAGAAAGTGATCGCCCTACCAATTTCCGAAGAGTAAAGGCACTATGGCTGTAGGTGTCGACTAATGGTCGTAATAATATATGAAGAAATTCCATTCTTTCAGCATATTCTGGTACCAAGTTCAGCTATTAAAACCAATTAAAGTATATTTTAATCACTGGTATTTAAAAATATATCAAAACGTATAAATATTAGCTTACTTTGTATTGAATATCTTTAGCCCTGTTTTCTTTAAAATGTTCTTCATCTGAACTGTCATCAAAATTTCGCGCATATCTTTTACTCCACATTTCTTCTTGCAAATAACATTCCTACCAAATAATTTACATGAGTAATATTTATATAATGCAATAGTTGCATCAGTATACAGTACCTCTTGTAAAGTGATGATGCCTGTATATGAGAGATTCTTTATAGTTTCTTCAATAACGCACTCTAAATCCTGACATGGCTTGCAGAAAATAAATTCGTATTTAAAAATATCACAAAGCTTAAGTGATCTTTGAACCAAAAGATCTTGAGACACTGTAATATTGTTTTGTGCAATAGCCACTGGATCATTGATTTGTGACTGCAATTCAGCATACAAAGCTGTTACTGAAAATATAAAGGATTCGTTATGAAATTGAGTAAATTAAAACACAATGTCTTCTCTTACCTACTATACTATCCATAACGTAACAGGTTAGCATTGTATTGCTATAATAAGATAGTTCGATTACATTTGGTAAAATCGATACAGGACGGATTGCGGTAACAACATTTGATTTGATTGACTGACCATCAACTATTTCCGTAATTTCTTGACGCTGCAGTTGTACTAAACCTGGACCCAAAATGTCCAACTAAAAAGATAACCAATGATATATATATTTTATCGTAATAAAGTATTTATAAAGTAATTATCTTACTAACAGCATGATTTATAATATCGATAGTTTCACCACAGAATGCAATGTCTCTATTACGGACTTCCAATTCTTGCCTCGTTAAATCAAATGCTTTAATTAAATCATCTAAAGTACAACCATCTCGGAACTTATTCAGAAGTAAGAATGCAACAACGTTGGTTGACATGATCGGCATTAAACTAGCACAATCTAAAAATTCTTGTACATTAATATCCAGTATAAGACAAATTAATTTTTTTTTTAATTGCTTTATCCTTACCGTACACAATGTGTCGCGCAATACTGTCAACTAATTGACGGTACTCTTCTGCAACAATATCTGTACCATACAACGATGAACTAGACATTGTAGATTTTAAAGGTCTGTCATTAGGAGTTACTTTTCCTGCAGCCAATTTATTTTGTTGGTTTTGAAAAGATTTCAACATCTCCTATTCATCAAAGAGTAAAAGTTATAAGATTAGTAAAAATGCGGATTTGACGACAAATTTTATCCGCAACAATAAACGTTATTTAAATGTCTTACCCTAAGTGAAAAAGGCTGAGAGAAATCAATTTTAACAATACCATAATTGCCCTTTAAGGTAGACCATATAGCTTTAATTGTAGATACAAATGTTTCCATTTCCTTTGGTTGTCCTAGCTGTTCTCTAACAAAGTTTCCATCAACAAGACGGTCATAATTCATTGCAACAGGTACTATTAATGCATCTTCAACAATTCCATCCATGTATGCATCAAGAACAATGCTCAAAATCCCAGCTTTTGGCATACATGGTTTACCAGTTCTTGTACGTCCACCTTCTATAAACCACTCAATATTATGGCCGGCCCTTAAGCTTTCCATTATGTACGTGTGAAGCGTAGCACGATAAAGAATGTCTCTACGGCCTACAACAGGATCAATCCGTCGTTTTATAAAAAATGCGCCTAAACCACGCAAAAACCTCCTATTTAATATATAAAAGATGATTACCAATAACATAATATTATAGAAAATTAAAATTACATAATGTACATATACTTAGAACATACCCAACGCATGGAATTTTCAAATTATCACCAGCTGCGATCAACGGGTTTCTAATATTGTTCATTAGAAAAATAAAACTAATCATAACATAATCCAAGTGACTACGATGTAAGGGAATCAGTATCAAAGGAAGACCGGTTTCATTTGCTTTCTTCAACATTTCTATTTGAGAAGGTAATACTACAGCTGATTGTATAAAACATGGCATCAATTTGTAAAGAATCCATGCCAGTATTTTAAGTAAAACATTGCTTATTTTGCTTTCCATTTGAGATATTATAGTCTTGGCTCTAGCCTTTGCCTTTGCCAAGGCAACTTTTTCACTACACCTCTCATTGGTAACTGTTTCCCAAGCAGTCAATTTAATTGCTTCCTTCAATCTTTCGTCTGCTAAAACCTATAAAAAATTAACTATGTAATTTACAGGGAATAATATTTTTATTTAAAAAATAAAACATTTCTAGATTTACAACTTACTGTTTGTGTTACCCTTGGGTAAGCATATTCTTTAAAATTATAAACATGTGAAATGCAACAGTACAGTTTGGAGAACAATGATGAGCCTGGATTAATTACCAATATATTTAAACCATAAGGCATGTACTGTTTGCTGACAGTATTTACCAATGAATTCTGTAAAAGAACAAAAATTAAATGAAAAAAATATATAGCAGGAGCTTATATATAAATGATGATTTTGTTATCGCTGATTATCTTGATTGTTTCAAACATCAAGGAAAATACGGGTACTAAATATAAATATTACAATCATTTATGATTGACTTACATTTACTGGGTACCCACGTACCACGATAATACGCAACCATCGTGAAAAAAGTCCACGTGGTTCCTCGACCATTTTTTTCGTTTAATTAACACGCGTTCGTGAAATTTATCATTGCTAGTATGGCGATTAAATTTGAACTTTCTTGATATATAATACATTAATACATAAATATCACTGTAACGAAATGAATCATTGAACTGTGAAAGTGATCATCTTTTTATCATCGGAAGTATATGACGATTATAGGTAGGAGTAATTATCCGATAATGGTAGATCATACTTAATTTTATACTTTCTTCTTCCATGTAATAAAGTATGAAAAAAAAGAAATAATTACAGAGTTACTGTGGAGGTATTTTCGTATTCGAATAGTGTACCAAGTACAATGTACAAAAATTATATATTTAATATTTTTATGTCATGTATGATTACGTATAATATTCAAACGTTCAAGTGATTAAATAAATTGACAGAATCCGATAAAACAGTTATATAATTAAATACGCGTCGAAAGATGGCGTCTTAATTAGGTAACGAGAGATGTGTAGTTGTATAGTCACTTGCGTTCTATACTTGAAACGCAAACTGTATTAACAAGTGTGCTATAACGTGAAATTGTTACAAGACGAACATTTCATTGTTGAACTGTGAAATATTTTTATCTTACCTACAGTCTACTAATGAAAATAACGTAGTTAAAAATTTCACAAAATTATTCACAGCGAAACACGATCCACTTCCACAATATTATCAAGACCATCGACGGTGATGTAAGAAATAAATACATACATATATAAATCGAAGCTACTATGAACTTATGTCATTATGAATGTATGGGTAGCATCATAAGAAAAAGTTACACATTTTAAACTATAATATTCGTAATTTTCCGCGGAGCTTGGCTACAGAGACTGCAAGCTGAATCTATTTTTAGTATCGTCGGAGTGTATGCGCGCGTAGCCCACCTTTTTCAACTATCTACGAGATACTCATTTACAACACATATTTTTTCAGTATCAATCGATGATTTTCGTATAGCTTTTATTCTTGACATAGATTCGAAAAATTTGTTTCATTATTACTAAGACGATCTTTTAGGCACAAGATCTCGTATTTTCCTTGAAACTTCAACAATAAATTTGATTTTTGCAAATATGAAACTCACTCTAGACGATGGAGTGCAACTATTGCAGCAATAATGTAGGAACGACTGTTTTTCGGGAACAAGAGGTTGCAATGGCTTGTTCTCTTTAATTTGATACAGAGAACTTTCCCGAAGTTTTCTAGCCTGCTCCCTGTTTTGTATCCTCTTTCTGTATAATTGTTGACCAGTCCGTCGAAGTTCTGAAATATCAACGTTTAATTCATTTTTTATTTCTTTTCCAATAATTACTATATGTTCCATGGCAAAAATCTTACCCTCTATCGAAAACCGAGCTGGTCTCGATTCTGGATTCCGCGACACTTCTGTTCTTGTTTCCCATTTTGCGTATACTTCTTGTAAACGCGTCGAGAGTATGTCGACCATATTGACAGATCTGTTATACATATAATTGAAAAAACTTTAATTTAATTTCTTGAAAAGTTGTGATACAATGTAACATACAGTGAAGCTCGAAGCTTCGATGAAGGAATTGATCGAACGTTCATCAACGTTGATCTTTTCCTAAGTATTACTGAATGAAACCAAATTTTTAACATGATCCTTTTTTTTTTCTCTTTCAATGATTCACTGCCATGCATTCAAACAGGTATAATACGAGCACAATTTCACGGTGTGTTTCTCTCGAATGCAAACGTTTATTATTTACGCTCGATCTCTGTTGCTTTTAACGGATCGATACAGCCGAGTGCAGTTGCGATTAGCAGACACGGTTTCCTTTTTCCAAATACGTTCCTTGAGTTTAATATTTATATTATCGTGTGTAAGATAAACGAACAAAATCGTATTAACAATAAGCCCGAATCGATCGTAAAAAAAGATGGCGGATTTATCGAAAAGATCGTGAATCGTTTCGAAGAATCGATTATATAGCTATTATACCAAAGGTCTTTTATATATAGATAAGGGTGTGAACGAACTGTTCCAAAGGCTAACGGTCTCTTTTAACTTTTTTATCAGCATTCCACGATGGTTAGATTTCTAAAATCTCTCGTAAATAATTATCATACAACTGCAAGTGGAATTACACTTCTATGACCTGAAATTACTAGGAATTATACTTTCCGAGGCTAATGATAGTTCACGTGTTCAACGAAGGGAAGATCTCTCTAAGCAAAAAGACACGCTCTTTGAACGAGTCCTTTATCTTTTCCGCTTGCATGGAACAAAGCAAGTGACAAGGCCAAGGCTAGAAAACGTGTACGCATTTTAACCCCTGTTCCGGCTTCTGCTTAAAGTACATTCAACTCGGAAAAATGTTTATTTCCATGAAAAATTCGAAAAATTCTTTTTCACAAATTTAACCTCAAATCTTTCTTTTTTTCAAAAATTAAGTCTCACTTGAATACTGAGACAAAAAACTGAATCTAAATTTAGTATCCGTTACATAAATGATAAATTCTTAAAAAGAAATGATTTAATCGTAAAAAAGTTAAAAAGTAAGTTTCGTGTTTCGATTATACACGAAAGTTTGAAAGATAAATTTAGAAAAATTAGGTGATGAAAATGAAAATAAGATGAACAAACGAACAGGTGTTGTATTTAAGAAGCACGCGTAAATAGAAAAGCAAAGCTAAAGGTGTACATGTATACACAACGTGCGATGCAACACGGAAACCCATCAAGCATAACATTAATTGTTATGACAGGTTTATGAAACAATCAAATCGATATCGGTCGAAGAAAAGAGATATGTACTTTGCCATATGATCTCAATTGTACAGTTCGCGTGTGCGGTATCGCGTGTCGATTACATAAACGAATATTGGATCTTGTCGTTTCATATCAGAGAAACAAGCTTATCGAGAAATTGATCAGCTCGTGAGCGGATAATTATAGATTTTCGGTATAAAAAATAAATTAACGGACTTATTTTGTCATAGACGGAAGGATAAGAAATAAAGGAAATAAGTAATTTGGTAAAAAACACAGTGTCGTTTCAGCCGACAGTATCATGTTTCGTTTACGTGTTCTCGTACTACGGACGTTGTACCGATCCCGTTTATCTGCGCATGTGTCCAATAAGAATATTTTTCTTTTTCTTTCTTTTTTTTTCGTTCCGTGTGTTTGAAGTTTTTAGTGAACCAGGCTGAAACTTAGAGGCTGTTAACAATGATTGTCAAAGTCCAAGACGATAAGAGCGACATGTATAAAAACATGTTGAGAGGAATATAAACGATCTTGTACAATGTGATTGTACAATGTCTTGTACAGCGTGACACAGCTGTTTATTTCTATGTAGCGATGTCGATAATGACAATTAATTAACCATGAATTGCGATGCGAATAATGTAATGTTTAGTAATAATACGTTTCTTTTTCGTATGCGGCGCTTTCCCCTCGCAAAAGCATCGATAATTCTACCACTAAAGGAATGGAAGAAGATGTGTGTTGTGTAAACGACGAGATCTCAATGCGCATATTGCAACTCTGATTTGAATTAAAAAAAGAATTATTAGCGTTTCCACACGCGTTTCACGATATCTGTATTATGAGGACACGCTGGGAGCTAAATTAAATTATCAAGAGTGAGATATTACATTTCATTGCAACAGAAACATTGAACTATTAAAAATTCACTGACACAATTATACATCGATGTTGTACATACTAAATAATTCTCGTTTATCGATGCGTGTTCATATCTATCGAATATGTTGCATATATTCAACGAGGGATTATTGAAAAACAAACGAAAATAAGTCGAGTACCTAATTATCAGATGGACAAAAGTACATGATTGATTAAAATAACGACACGATGAATGCTTATCGAACATCCTTTCTGGTAAACAAACCCGTTTATCAAAGAATGCACTTTGCTCTATTACCGTGAAAACAATTTCTCCTCTAATTATGTTATAATAAAATAATCGTAAAATTTTCGACTCGTTGAATAGATCGATCGATATTAGCATCCCCATTGCTATCGAATTATTGTACGTACAAATAATCGATTATTTCTAACGATTTTCGATATTGTTAACTTCGTGCCTTATAATACTATCTTATTGTTATTATTATGATTATTACATAAAGGGTTAAACTGATGAATAAAATTTCCCATCCCTGAATGAAATGCTTCGGTATCATGCATTATCAGAAAGGTGAAGGAATAAGTTACCTGAAGTTGAAGAAATAGATGAGGATTCCGAAGAAAAGGAAAATCTCGACGAGACCATCCATTGTGGATGAAGGGTCGCGTAACGCTTTTCTCCCGAAAACAAACTGAGGCTCGAATAAGTTCGTCCGCAAGTGGGAGGTCCCTCAACTGCTCGATTTCATGATTGTATCAACGTTTATCTACCTGGTTCGATCACAGACTCGTGTGAACTTTAATCCAACACGTTAACTTCCGTGAAAAAACTACCATCAATCACTTCGCCGAGATCCATAGATCCGACCACTTCTTAGTGGTGATTGTTTAGTTAGGCGACCCGATGTGTACGTGCTATCTCCTCACAGGTGATTCCTTTCCGTCGATCAAAACTTTCGTCGAACCTTCGGAAACAAAAGCGGTGTACGAAAGACCGCTTAAGTCACGACAAACGCAGACTTTCTACTGCAATACGTTAAGTAACCTCCGACAATATTCATCGAAGACAGTTCACTGACTCGCTGCCTCTAACGATGCAACACGCCGGGTTGTTCGATGTGTTATAACAACGGAATACGTTTTTCTTTTAAGGTGCAACAACGAAGCGTGGACAAACTTCTAGATTATCTTAGAGCGGTCGTGGTTTTGTGAATAACTTCAAATGTTGTAATTAAACAGTAACTATGGCGATTGTCGAGTGTCCTTTCCTTTTTTGTTTCTTTTCTTGAAAATGTGAATGTACACATATTACGTTTTAACAGTGAAATTGAAAAGTAAACTGGCAATTGAAGAAATGACGTTTCGCTGAATTTTTGAAAACGTGGTTGCATTGTTTTATTAAGAACATATGTATATAAGCTGTTATCAACTAGCGATTAATTACGATGTCGATAATTAAAGAAGATCTATTCTTACGCGTGTTCTACTTGCAATCCTTATCCAATGATGTTTACAGTCCGCAAACGTGAGCTGCCTCGAATGTCCGTTCGTAATTTTTTATTATACGATTGAAAGAAAATAAAAAATTAACCGGTTGAAATGCATTTTAATGAGAAATACCTTGATTTCAACGACGTTCCAGACTTGATTTAAACGATGTTCCAAATTTTTTCAACAAGACAAATGGTGTTTCACTTTTGAAAAGAAAACGTAATAACGAGGATCATTTCGGGTATTTCCTACGATATGTCAGACTGTGATAGAAGCGCGAGGAAAATTTTTATAAAACTAAGAGAAAAAAACACTTTCAGTTTTATTCGGCAATCGATGTGACCACCACAAAGGTTGAATCATAACTGTATCTCAAGCACTGCGAACCACGTGCTATACGCGGTAAATAACATCTATAACGAGCAAAGAATTTGACTGTGAAGCTTTTCTGTTTCCTATTAAACATGTTTGTTTATCAGTGTTAATTTGAAAATGATAAGATTACGATTTTTAAAATAGTTGTGAAACACGTGACACGTGCCTTTGCGAAATTATAAACGCAGTGCATGACGGCCAGAGTGGCAGTGGCGTTACTCTGGATCAACTAATAGGATTTCGTGGTAATTTTATTAATCGAATTAAAAAAATAATTGCAATTACGCTTGCACAACCGTCACTTAAAGTCGTCGGTACTGCGTAAATAAAACGAATGCGATGTTGCACTGCGATGATTCGTACACTGATCTATCATAATAGCACATCGATTAGGTTAAAAATATTTCAACATTTGAAGATTACATGTTTCGAATATCACTACCGTGAATTTAATTAAAACTAAAAAGAGAAAAAAGCATCTGTCATCTCTTTATATTTCGGTACATTTGCACGACCGCACAATACGGCGAACAGCATCTCGAGTAACAAAATCGGTATGACCTGATGCCCAGTTGCTTCCAACGCTACCCGTAAATTAATCCTATTGAAAGCCATTAGCGTTTTATGCTAGTCTTTATTGTGCGTCAATTTGTAAGAGTACATTAAGATTCTCAGGCTGTATATCAAGGGAGAATCATTGGTAGTTCAAGTACTTACGAAAGAACGATTTCATGCGAGGCTTATGTTGCACACTTTCTTCTTTACGTGCTACTTTCACAAACTAGACATGGTGAACACGAAGTAATGAATGACTTTTTTTTGTAATTTTTTCGAATATTTATTAGCTTTTAATAGCGAGCATGTGTATATGATTTCATGTATGCGGTTTCTTTAATGCACTATTTTCGCGCCTTTATTTAACATTTCACTTTTTGTTATCCATATTATTATTGTTAATTTATTGTTAAATACTAAGTGTAATTGTAAAGATCATTATATCAAAATAATAAAAAATTCAGATTTCATTCAGTAATCCAGTTTAATACGATTGCAAAACATAACCTTAATTTGTGACACACTTTAAATTTATAAATAAATGTAACGACTTACCTTGCACTGATGTTTAACGAAAACTCTTACAATAATACGAAATATTACATTAATTACTTAAAAGATATTTAATCAATTCAAAATACCGAAATACACTTCGCACGTAACACGCCATTGTGTATACTATATCACTTTTGTACACATTTTAACATATTTTTTTAATTATGTATGATGAAACTTATGTAATTATAAATATAAAGTTTTAAAAAGTTAAGGACTCGGTATTAAAGTTTAACTGCAATTGTATTTTTAATAAAACATTTAAATTATAAACTGTATTCGTACATGCATTCGCCGCAATCACATGTACACTGGATGTTGGTAATATATTAATAATGTTCTAAAAAATAGTATAGTTTAATAAATAACAGAAATTACTGAAAAATAATTTTGTATTTTATTAAAATAATTTTCAATATTTATTTAGAAAAAATTATTACTTTCACAACAATATTCGTATACAACTCTATTATAACGTGGCGTGTTTCGTATGTAAAAACACGTGTTGACAAAATAGAAGGATGTTGTTATCATAAGAATGATATCTTGGTTGTAAAGAAGTAATAATTACCTAGTTATTTCAATTTATGATAACTTCACTTAAAAATCATTAAAACTACGTAAAAATGGCAGTAAGTAAAAATTATTTCACTTTATTTAAAAATAATAATAATATTAACCTATTCACATATACATGTTAACTAATGTCATTTATTTTAAAGACTGTGACAAATATTATTTTAAATTTACTATGACTTTAACTTATCACACTAATCTATATTTTATCTGTACGGTTAATAAAATAGAAAAAGCTTAAAGTTAGTGCTATTAAAAGAAGTAATCAAAAGAGAACTAAACTTACACGTCAAGGAAAACTTAAAACAAGACGTCATAAACCAGCAAAAAGGCAAGTTCAAAAAACAGTTCACCATGCAGAAACTGTGGAAGAAGAAGAAAGTGATCATGGTGAAGACCTTATGAATATGGTTGAAAAAGATGATTTAGTATTCTTAAGAGAAGCTATCTCTAATAAATCTTATAATCTATTGAAACAAATACGTGTAATTGAGTATGTTCAAATATCAATTCTCTGATTGTTAACATCTGTATTTTAAATTAAAATTATCATAAAATATGTTTATTTTAGAACAGATGATGATAAAAGGAAAAATAAGAAGAAAAAAGAGAAAGAGAAAACATTGGAAGAAAGGTTTGAAAATAGTATGTCAAAAGTAACTGAGAAAGATAATATGAAGAAAGTTCGTATGTTACTTCCTACAAAAACTGAAAATGGAATTATAGAACAAAGGTTAATTGAAGAAAGTAATGATGAAGATAGTAATGAGGAACATGATGCTGAAGATAATAACATGGAAATAGAATCAAGCTTGCTTGATGGGAAAGAAGATGTAAATAAAAAACCTGTGTCTATGATAGATCTTTTAGCATGTCGTAAAGAGGTATTGAGATCTAAACGTTTGAAAATAGGATTACTATCTAGCACTCTTCTAGAAACACCAGAAACCAGATGTGAAAATTTTAAAACACTGTTAGAATTAATGGAAGAAAATGATCCAGAAGTATATATTACTGTGAGAAAATTAGCAACTGTTTCTCTACTAGAAGTTTTTAAAGATTTGTTGCCATCTTATCAGATTCATCAAATTCCACAAGATGTAAAATGTATGTAACCATAATGATATATGGTTGTCATAAATTGTAGTTGCTTGTTTATTTTTCATTTTTATATATTTTTTTATTTTTTAGTGAAGAAAGAAACATTTGCATTACAGAATTATGAAACTACATTGCTAAGATATTATAGGTCTTATCTGCAAAAATTAGAAAGAATGTGTAATGTACTAAGAAGGAAGAAGGGTGATGCACGACAAATAAAAGAACAAGAAATTGAATTAGGAAAACTTGCAGTGACATGCATGTGTGATCTTATAGTAACTAATACCTACTTTAATTATTCTGTCAATATAGCAAATTTTCTCCTACCACTTTTGGATAATAAACATGAGACTGTAAGACAAGAAGTCTTAAAATGCTTTTCTCATATTTTTAAAACAGACAAGCGTGCTGAATTGTCTCTTAAAGTAAGACATTTAAATAATTATATCCTATTTAAATTGAATTTTATGGATATTATATGTGCTATTAAATCTTTCAGATTGTACGTAAGTTAAATCAATACATAAAATTAAAAGCACATTCAGTTCATTCTGAGGTTATATCTGTACTTCTTTCTCTTCGTATAAAAGATGTAAATTTAGATAAAGAGAAAGAAGAAGAGGCTAAAGAAAAAAAACTTATGTCTCATAAACAAAGAATTCTTGCTTTAAGTAAACGAGAAAGGAAGAAAGATAAGAATCTGGAGAAAGTAGAAAAAGAATTACGTGAAACCAAAGCAGAAGAAAATAAACAGTCTAAACAAAAACTACTTACTGAAATAACAAGTGTAGTATTTACAATTTACTTTAGAATTTTAAAACAAGCCCCAAATAGTAAAATTTTGTCCATTTGTTTGGAAGGATTGGCAAAGTATGATAAATTTTAACTTAACATACTTCCACCTTAAATTATATGATATCTAATAATATCCAATAATTACAGGTTTGCACATTGCCTAAACTTAGACTTTTATCAAGATTTAGTAACTGTTATAGATAAGCTAATGGAAGAGGGTAATTTAAGTTTGAAAGATCAGTTACATTGCATTCAATGTGTATTTACAATATTGTCAGGACAAGGTTCAGCATTAAATCTTGACCCATACAGGTTTGCACTGAAAAACAATAAATATTACAAAGAAAAAAGATAAGATTAAATTTATAATTTGTGTGGTATTTATACAGGTTTTATGCACATTTATACAAAAACTTATTTAGTATCCATTGTGGTAGAACTCATTCTGAGACAGAAATTCTTATAAAGATTTTACTTCAAGCTTTAATTAATAGAAGAAAAAGAATCACTCAAAGTCGTGTAGTAGCATTTATCAAAAGAACTTGGAAGAGCAGCAAATATTCTGTTGGATACTGATTGTTCTAGTGGAGATGGTTTTTATCAAGCAGAGCTAGAAGAACCTGAGTGTTGCAATGCTCATTGCACAGCATTATGGGAACTCGCAGCTTTACAAGTATATATATTTACATATGTTATAAATACATATAATCCTATTGAGTCTAAGCGTATATATCGTTGAACATGCTTTTATTTTGTTACTATTAGCGACATTATCACAGTACAGTACAAAAGATGGCAAAAAACATAGCTTGGGGTGTGCCACCAACTGGTGAAGGCAGTTTATCTCCAGAAATTGCAAAACTGTAAGTTTAAGTACTTTCTATGCTTTTGTTTTTAATTTTAATGTTAACACACAGTTGTGTGTAATACAATTAAAATTTATTTTATTTGTTCCAGTACTCCAGAAGAACTTTACACTGAATTTGATCCCACTGGTGTTGTATTTAAACCAGCAGTACCAATTCCCAAAAAGAGAAGAAGTTCCAAGAAAGCAACAACAACACATCATCAGTTTATAAATAGCGAATTTAAAGAATATATTAATACTATAAATAATACTGAATTATTTGCAAATGGATACATAGATTTTTATAAAGACTTACAATAGTTAATACTGCATATAACACAAATTACAAGAATGAAACGAAGTGTACTAATCTAACACTGTGCGTATTTTGTAAATAATTATAATTAATATTTATAATTATTTTGTTGATTTAAATAGCGTATTAGATTTATAGTGCTAAATTTCCTAAATATGAAATAAATATTATTTTCAAGCAGAGATTAAACAATAAAATGTAATTACAAGACTTGATAATGAAATGAATACCTGTGCTTATAATAATCATAATTTGTTTTTATAAACCACAAATTCTGCATTTACATTGTATTTACTTTCGGTACAGATATACATTTTCAGTTGAAACGAAATATTTTATATTTGCAAGTTTATTACATCATCGATTTTGGTACATTCTGAATTACTTTCTTCAATTACATTTAAGTTTGTTTCAGTCAATATTTCCTTAACATTGTCAATTGTTTGTGATGGTAAATCAACTCTCTGCACAGGTATATGTTTACGTTCTATAATATTCATTTTTATAGCATCTTCTATTTCTAATGCTTCATCCAGAATATTATTTTCGTTCCTTGTTGATTGTTTTGGTGCGATTTGTGCATACCTATGTTCATTTTTATCAAAATTTAGCAATTTAGGTGTATTAATTTTGTCGATTGTTTTTGTTACAATGACTTGTTCATTTTTATCATTTTGATGGGCTAACTGAGAATTTCTTTTTGCTAAAATTATTTTTGTATATTTAACAGTGGGTTGATTTGAACGAGTTTGTATTGGAATTGTAGCTTTAGTTTTGGATAAAGTAGGATTTTGAGATTTTGTCTGCAATATTACATGATTTAAATTTTGTACAGCTACATTAGGGCATATAATAGTTTGGGTGGGTGTCACAAATTTGTTAGTTGTTTGTTGTAACTTATCTTGTTTGTTACTTATCAGAACAACTTTAGTATTACTGCTTAATTTAGGTGTGCTCTTTTCACGAACATCTATAGGTATAGCTTGAGATAAAGATGGATTTTTCTCAATAGAATTTAAATTATCATCATCTTTTGCAAAGATTATTGGTATGTCTAGTATGTTTCCTAGTTCATCATCAATCTCATCTACAAGAGAATTCTTCTGTACTGTTTGAGGTTTATGAATTCTTTGTAAATTAGATGTGTTAACTGTAATCTTTGGCATTGTTTTAGTAGATTTATGTGTAACTTTTAGTTTGTTAGACAGTGGTAAAATAGTTCCTGTGCTATGACTGCTTAATGGTACTATCACTGATGAACAAGCAGGTTTAGCATTAAGGGAACTTTCAACCATAATTATATTCCCACATGATGTATTATGAGAGTTATCGTTGTTATTACAGGTTGTTACTTGTCGAGGTAATTGTGACATCTTGAATGTGTCCAATGAATGAGCAGAACTGAGCATCACATGCGAAGAGCTACTTGTTGGTGCCATGTCGTCCATCACTATAAAACACATATGTATGTTTCAACAATTTTTTAAAATATAAATTAGTAAATAATTCACTGTGTTGAACACCATTCAAGGATAAACATATTTTGCTACATGAATTCTGTAAATATATCTTCAGAGATGATTATGAGTGTAATATAAATCATGCAAAATTCTATTAAACATAATGAAATATGTAAATTAATATTTTGATTTTGTATCACTAAAATGATCATCAAATATTTAAGGACATTGTAATATATTTCCGAAATTATATTATTTTTAAGAATGTTGCATTTTAAACCAAGAGGATTCTCAAACGATATATTGGTAACATTTAATTAATTATTTTGCTTTATAATGTAAAATATGTGCAAATATAAAGTACAAGTAGTATAATGTAATAAAAAAACAGTTGATTAAAAAAGTATTAAATAAACATTTAAATATTTTCAATTTAACTACTTGCACACAGTGAGAGTTAAATGGGACTGGGATAAGGAGACAAATAAATTCAAATTACATGGAAAAATGTTTATTTAACACAAAATAAAGAAGAGTAGTAATATATTTATAACATATTACTTTAAATGTATTTAAATATAAACTTATATTAAATGTAAAATAATATAAATACATGCTACATTTGGACACATGTTACATCACATGCTGAACAAAGATATGTACATTTAAAATAAAAGAAAAAATAATATCTATTAGATTAATTAAACTATTTTAATTACTCTATATTAAAAAATGTGGGAAGGTTAAAACTCATGATTCATCTATACAATCCCAAAAACATAAATAGAATAATTTTTATCTAAAATAGATACACTTTATAAAAAAACTAATTTTGTTATACCAATGGTGTTCATGCACAATATGTTTTGTCTTTGCATATGCATAGATATGCTCCATATAACATCATATAAAGATGTATATCTTTAAATAGGGACACAGCAATTATAAAAACATATAAATCCGAAATTATCTGATGAATCAAAAATATTACTGTATAATGATACTAACAAGAAATGTGTTAGATAAAAACTCTAATACTAATGTTATACATATACAATAAAAAACTTACATAATAGAAATTTGTATGATATAAACTTTGATAAATATGTTGATAGATGACATGAATGCTTCCTTCCAGTGCTCTTGTTCTTTTAATCACTATATGCTAAATACTTAGGAATTTATTTTGCTACTCAAGTTTTTATGCTTTCTTATTGTATTTATGTGTTTTATCTTAATCACTATTTTTTAGGTCATGTTTATTTTGAAGTAAATTTGACAATTCAATTTTATTTTCATTTTCCAAGTTTTTTATATGAATATATCAAATATATTTCGATATTTTTTTACAGTTGTATAATCTTTATATACACATATACAAAAATTGTTATGAAATTTAGAAAATAAGGTTACTTTTACTATTGGAAAAAAGTATCACTTCTTTTTAAAAAAAATTATTTTATACTGCTAAGACTTCACTATCCACAATACTTCTTCAAAATTAATAATAATTTGCGTCAATTGTATAATATTTTCTGAAGTTTAAAACTTAATAGTTTTATGCTTGTAAAGATCGTATACATTTGATTAAGAATTAAATAATATTATGATGTAGACAAATTATTTAGTAGCTGATTAGATAATAATATTCTACCTTTTGATATCGACGACGTGGTTGATGCTACACTAGTTGCCACAGAATTGTTTGGTGTTAGTAAAATACTGGAAGCTGCAGATATACGCGCGGACGATGAGCTAGTAGTGAGAGTAAGAGAATTTTTGCCGTTTTGTAAAATATTTGATAAAGTTCCATTTGATGTACCAATCGCAGGTTTACTATGTACCGCTATAAAAGAAAGATAAATATACATATATTATATAAAGTAAGAATCGATAAAATGCAGAAAGTACAATTTAACATATGAAATTTACCTGCAGTAGTTGGAGTATTAACTCTAATTTGATTTCCTGATGTTGTTAAAACATTAACTAGTTTTGTATCTCCATTCTTGTCAGGAATATTGAAATGCCTATAGTTGTTTGATATTACTTTAGAAAAAGCTTTATTCGTCGATACAATTGCTTTCATTTTTGAAACGTTCTGTAATTGCACATTTGTTGGTACAATTTTAGGCACTTTAGTTGACACAATTGATGACTTAGAAATATTTTTAATTGCTGTAGTTACAGCTTGACCTGATGATGCTGGGGCTAAACGTATTGGACCAATTGGTGCTAAACTTGCTAGTGAACCAATATTTAACGTTATACCGCCATTATCTGAACTCGAATTTGACTGAAAAAGTACAAATTATTGTATGTTTTTCTAATTAAAGTTATAAGTAAAGTCAAAAAGTTACCTGTCCGGAAAGTCTGGACGTTATTAAGTGCTCCATAAAATGACCCTTTTGATTACCAATAACACGAGGTTTCCGTTTTACAGTCTGTGTATGATTTGTATGTGCTCCGCTCACTGCAATTAAGTTTGGTTGCGTACCAAATGCTCCTACTCGTGAAATTGTACCTGACTGTGTATTTTGTCCAACAGATACTACCGATGAAATGGGTGTATTTGGTCGAGATTTTTTTATAGTGGGAGAATTAGGTTCACTTTCAACAGAACTACTTGTTGAGTTTCTCCGTTTTCGTGGCTCTTTTCTATTGTTTTTATTTTCGTAATTTGACAGTGACGTTGATCTTAATGGTAATGGATGTGGTTGTAAAAGAATAGTGCCTACAAAATCTCCAATTTCATCCAAAATACATCTGTCTACCATATTTTGCGTAATACCGTCTGATATTTTTTTTGCAGTAGATATCCTTAAATGATCATCGGCAGTTCCAACTATCACTAAACTCGTTTCAACCATCATTTTTTCTCTAAGGTCTTCTAAGTCATCAGGTCTTACAAGTGTAGCATTTTGTCCTATGACAAACATTACCGGACATCGAATATCCATTAATGTATCATCGGGTGCACCTCTTTTTCCCTCAACTGTTGTAAAAGGAAACCCAAGACAAATAACTGCAGTTACATGTTCCATTTGTGCCACCTACAAACATCAGATGTTAGTACTGAACACTTCAAGTTACATCAATATATATCGACGCAAACATTATACCTGACATGCAAGAGCGGCGCCTGTATTAAAACCAACAAGAATTATAGGTCGACCAGGACAATCACTTCTAATATCTTGTATTTTAGTTCTAGTAGCTTGAACTAATTGATCAATGCACACCATCATAGTCATTCTATTAGCTGCTAAACCCAAATGTGTATGAACAGTAACAACCATTCCTAAAGCTCCTAATTGCGAAATCCATTTATGCTGCCTTGTAGAAATATTGGATCCAACTCCAGAAGGTACAATTATTAAAATTGGGTTTCCTGGTAATTTTTTCTGCAATAAGAATAAGAATTATATTCATTATAAGATAGACATAAAATATATTGCAGTAAATTATATAATAAAATGTAATTACAAGTCTGTTGCTATTTAAACTTAAAGTAACTGGATCCCATGTTCGTCTGAGAAGTGACCCAAGGGTTTCCCATGTTATAGAACCTGTTTTTGCATTGATATTTGGTTGCACAGCAATCATCTTATCAATAAGTTGAGGAATTTTCAGTCTTAAAGTTTGTAGTATGTCAAGATAAATTCCAAGATATTCTTGGGGTAGGTGATCAAACAATAAATTATGCAACCATTGTGCAAGTCTCCAATCCCAACCAGCTGATGCCAATGTTTCTCGAAATCTTCTTGCAGCTGTATCAACTGATGTCCGTCGATAAATTGGTTCTATTGAATTATTTACTTTAGCTAACCTTGCAAGTCTTTCTGAATTCAATATTTTAAGCACTTTGGTAAATATTCGATTTTGAACAGGTGTCCATAAAATTTTATCCAGTTTCTCTTCCCAATCTTCATTTTCATCTGGCCGAGCAAAGTTTGCTAACCGTTGTAGTTCATCCATTTGATGTCTAGCTCTTGTAAAATCTATTGGTGGTATTAATGGTTCATTGCCATCTTCTTCTATATTAATTTCTTCATCCTGAGTAACTTTTTCCCTAATGTATAAACAATTATAATCTAGTTTTAAGCTTAATAATTATATTTACAATCTTATTATTCTTATTCCTTACGTTGATAAATTTTTCTTTGGAAAAAACAACTTTTTTACTGGCTTTACATAAACATTCTCTGGTTTCCAATTCCATGGGCGAGCATAGCAATGATCCTTTACAAGCACATTAATTTCAGTTTCATAGCATCCAGCAAGCTGATGCAAATATGTAGTTAATCTATTTGGATTATCATCAAATGTATCACTGGTAGGACTTGGTATTCTAGAAGTGTTTATCGATGTGGAAGGCATTGTTGATGTTGATGTTAACATTACTAAGTTACTTATACTTAATATATTTGATTCTTTCAACCAATAGTACTGCCACCATTTACAGATTTTCTCACATATCTGTTATTTCATATCTTGAATATCACTGGAATTAATGGGATTATTATATAATTAACGATTATCATAATATTAATTATTTATAAAGATAAAAACTACTTGGTACTTTCAAAGAACTTAATTTATAATATATAACAATGAGAAATTATTAAGTAATATAAGAAATGAAAACATTTAGAGTAAAATTTATACATATATGTATATATACAAATAATTATTCTCATTACACAAATTATATTAAGTGAATATTTCTATCACGAAACTAACCTTTATTGCATATCAAACTACGCATTTTAAGTCGTAATATCACAACATCAATTATTTCGCAGTGATATGCAATTCTATTTTAAACAAGAAAAAACAATGTACTGTAATCTAACGCAAGAAAACACAAAAACACATGGGAAGCAGAAGCATCATGAGACTATAGATACCTATACTACATCGATTACAAAATAATTATTTTGTAAGTAAAAAATAGTTGTTCCGTATCGATTTAAGTAATATGCAACATGATAAAATGCAAAAATTAAAAAATTAAATAAAGAAAACATATATAGGTAGGTAGGTACATGTAATTCTAATTTATGTAGCGCATAATATGTATTCAGAACGACAAATGCCCACTGACGCCTATGATGTATTTAATCAACCAATCGACAATTGGAAAGTTAAGCTAAATTTTGTCTTTCTAAAGTTTCTTTAATTGCCCTAGAAGTAATTTTTATAAATAACTCGTAAATAAAGCATTATTCATTTCTTACATGGAAAATATTCAGATAAACCTAAACATTCGATTTTTAATGTACTATATATTATGGTAAAGCCTGATTTCCAACAAAAAATTTAAGTGTGCTATAGACTGCGATTATGGTAAAAGCAATAGATACAATCCTTTTGACAGCAATATATCAAATCGAATGTTGGTATTCAAATCGGAATGGTGTAGCTAAAAGTTAATGCCTCCTGTATTGAAGTTCTAATACTGTGTACAATTGAAATATATATTTAATATATTACTATAAATTCTTTAGAAAAAGTCTTGTAAATGCTTGACTAATAGTCATTTTTGTACAAAAAACATTACAATTTGTTGAGAAAGGTTAGTGATGAAAGATGAGTAGTTTATAAATTTCTAATGTTGTTTCTGTAACAATTAAATATATACATTTTTCAGATTTTGATGTTAAATCAATGAATTCTCATTAATTAGTGCAACTGTGTATACATTTGTATATTAGAATAATGAATCATCTGAATTTGTGTAATTTACTATTTGTTTACATACATTTGTATAATATTTATACTATCATCACTTCAAATTCATAATGGCTATTACACGTGGTAAAGGTTTATTAACAGAATATTGGTTTGACTTATTCTTGCGAATTGCCTTGGCAGGGTTGTTTATGTAAGTTAGTTTTTGCATATGTAGTAAAGAGGATGTATGTACTTTTTGTGTGAATATATATATACATATACATACATATTTTTACATGTAGTGTATTAGAAAAGGCAGAACCATTTTCTAGAAAAATTCATGAAGATGAATTATGGTTATATAAAAACCCAAGAACTGATTCATATGTTCCAACTACTTTATTATGGGTAATGTATTTTATATGTGAAATTTTATTTTGAAATTATAGTTCAATTTCAAGTGTATAAATAATTTATGTTTATTTTCAGCCCTTGGTATTCATAATGCCTGCTGTAGTTATTTTTTGTATTTTCTTAGTTTATAGAGATAAAATTGACACTTATCAAGCAGTATTATCTGTAACTTTAATAATGCATAACATATTTTTAATAGGCCGTCCTAGACCAGATTTCTTTTGGAGATGCTTTCCTGATGGACAAACAAATCCAGATTTTAAATGTAATGGAAATCCAGTTGTTATAAGAGATGGAAAAAAGTCATTTCCAAGTGGACATTCCTCATGTATGTTAAAGGATGAAGTATATATTTTCTAAATAAAAATATTTATATTTCATCACAATAATTCTTTACTTTTTAGTTGCATTTGCAAGTTTTGGTTTCATTGCACTATATGTAGCTGGTAAACTGCATACATTTAGTCTGGTAGGCAAAGGACAGTCATGGAAATTATGTGCATTTGTGTTACCAATTTGTATTGCTCTCGTAATTGCACTAAGTAGAACTTGTGATTATCATCATCATTGGCAAGGTAAACAAGATAAAATAATCATATTTTTTGTTGTAGAAGTAAATATTCTAATTTTCAAAATTTTAGATGTAGTTGCAGGTTCAGTAATAGGATACTTTTTGGCATATATGTGTTATAGACATTATTACCCACCATTAGACTCACAAATATGCCATAAACCATATGCTGCCCTTACCCTTCAAATTCAATTGGAATATACAAGGAACAGAAACGAGCAAATCAAGTGGATTTAATGAGAGAAAGATTACAGTATTAAAACTATTACAATAACTTAAAACTTTCAACAATACTATGTTTTATTTTATACATTAACTTTTCTTTTTGTATATTTATAAATGTAGCAAAATAATATAAATATATACATTTTTATGAATGTACTGTATATATATATATACATGTATATATATACTTTGTGTTCTTAAAAAGTACTAAGGTATTCAATAAAAAGAACCTATTTTAACGAAAACAAGAATTTTGAAATTGCTTAAAATGGCGCCACGAAAAGGTGCGTGAATACATAGAAATTAGTATATTGCGCATAGACGCCATTTTGAAAATTTTGCGTATGGTGCGCCATCAAGTTCGTTTCAGTTAAACAGGAGCAGTGGTCAAGTCGATGGTGTTAGTGCTTCTCGGTAAACTTTTTATTTTGGCAGTTGATCGTGCACATCTTTGTGAATTTCTGAATTTATCTGGGTATCTTGTATATTCATAAGCAAAATTAACGTCACATTTCGTGTATTGTTCGCATGTAGAAAGTACTTTAGCACATTTATTCCATATAAATTAAGAGTTATATCAGGTTTCTCAGCACTGTGAAGTGACATAGTTATTTACGAGCTGTTGTGTTGGTGAAATGTTGTCTCAACTTCCTGTACATGGCGAAGCTCATGAGCGTCGTCGGTCGTGTTGAATAGTCAAACGCTAGTGTTCAAACGGTGTTTTATACTTTTTCCAAGAACATTCCGCCAAATTGACCTACTTCCACCACCTAAATCAACGATATTGTGCCAGTTGTGTGTGAAAATGATGAACATGGAAACGGATGAGATTATTGAAGACGCAAACACGAATCTTCAGGTACGCAACATATATTAGTATTTTTGATCCGAAACCTACCGCCATCTTATGTTTCCTTATGATGGAGAAATTCGCTAATATTTTGCGATCAACCGTTAATTTTTATAAGGCTTACATTTTTTATATGTACCTTCTAATGAAAATCATTGATCGAACACATATCTTGTGTATGAGAGGTTATAAGATCCGATTGTATACTATACATGATGATTGTGGTCATTTCTCTAAACTTCTTATATGCAGATATTTACGTACATCTAATAGTGACAGTTACTTTATTATCTCCATAAAAATTAAGGTTGCATCATTTTTAGGTATATTCTTTAATGGAATATGTATCGTTATATATTACCATATTTGTAGGATAATAAATATATTTCGGTTTGGTTAAAAACCATAGAAAACATTTATTAGTCAATATGACTTGATATATATACTTTTATTTGAACAAAATGTGATTTGTGTGAATTATGTTTGTTATGCATGTCATCGAATGACTGGCATTGTTAAATTTGTCTCGTAAACATTGTAGTATTTATATTGTACACAATATAAAAATATTTACAATTTTAAATGTAATGAATTTATTACCAGATTAATGTGAGATCAAATTCGATTAATAGGTCACTTATTAAGTTCATGTGTTTTAATCGTATTTCTACGAAAGTTGACATATACAATATACTTACTTTTACATAAAATTTATTCGTAAGTTAATATTTAATTGATAATAGTTTCATTTTATCGGACATCATCGTCTTTGTTACCAGAACAAAGGACAGTTCATTTGAACATAAGTCTAATTTTCAAGCTTGGCAGTCTGAGAACAACTTACTACATAATCAATGTTTTAGCTCCCTCTTCACCCTTTCTCTCTTGTTTCTCCTCTTTTGCGATCCCCTACCTTTTTTTAGCGCTTCTTTCATAGTTCTGCGCTAAGCTACGTTACATTCGCGTAAATAACAAACGATCGAACAAGATCTCTGTTATCATTAATCTTTCGTACAATTATAGAACACTTGTTATGATAATTAATAGTTGATATTTATTGCTCATCTTTATCACATAACGTTACGGTGATATTGATTTGTCCATGCAATTGGATGTATGCCAAAAATGTCTAATAATGTATATGAACATTTCAATCCAGTTTTTATTTTTCATTATTACGACGAGAAAGAGAAAAACAAACAATATATTCTCTCTTAGTAAAGAAGTATAATAAACCATCCGTTGTAGGGATATTTAATTTTCATGAAGGTAAAACATAAAACGATTGTCTATACGCGTAAGGAATTAAGTACACCATCTACGCGTGTATTGTGTTAAAATTGAACCGCAACACATGTACCTTGGGTAGACCGTTCGTGCTAGAGAAAAAGGAATAGGTTGCAATCCTTGCGTCAGAAGGTCTTGTGAATTTAAGTAGTATCACTTCTAACAATTCACCTTTTACTGTGTAGAACGAAACGCTTTGAATACATAGGTGTATGTAGATAAAAGAAAACCATTCTTTCTGGAATATTATTTTCTTCTTAGTATATTACCTTATATTTACGCAATTCTAAAGTGAAATTAAACCATAATGAAACCGATATTTTAATTAATTTTTATTATTACGATTATCCGAATCCTGCCTCTCCATATCTTATTAAAATATTCTATCGTCGCTCAATGTAAATGAACTCTGTATTGTGTTGTCCAGAAGTACGTGACTTGCCGAAAAAAAAGAGTATTACCTCTCTTATTTAGTGCCAGTGACTCATCATTCCGGTTTCATTTCTTGTTACATTACCATGCGCATTTTTAATTTCTTTATCATTCTATCGTCAGTTTTAATGTATTTAAAGGAAAAAAAAAAGAAAAGAAAGAAACAGGTACTTGAGAACAACGAGGAAGCGATACATCGCGATTATGAATTTACGATCGTCTTTTAAGACCGGATATATGATAATTTTTTTACGTATTCTTGAAACTCGTTCTCCTCGAATGTGTGTGCATTTTTTTGTTCTTTGTTTTATATTTAGAGAGAGAGAGAGAGAGAGAGAGAGAGAGAGAGAGTAGTGTTCTGAAATTTAGCGCTATATATATTAATAATCAAGGACGACAGGAAATTTCGAAATATTCTCGTGTTTCACGGTTCATTGTTGCAAGTGTCGAGAAACGGGTTCTTTATATGCTTTTTCTACCGTAAATTCTGTGTTTCCGTTCGTAAACGTGTTTTATGTTACACCGGTAGAAAAATATTTTTCCTAGTCCGGCCAGTTCATGTGCACGGAAATGTGTCGTGCATCGATTCAAACATTCCTATAATATTTATTATCGATAAACGGTAAAAAGGTATTGACGAAGAAAACGATGGAAACCGCGAGAGATATATATATATACAGACACACATATACTCTTTTTCTACAACTCGTTCTTGATTGTCTTTCCTTTGTAATCCGATACTCGTGCAGACGGGCAATGATTATATCGGCTGGTATTTCGAAGTAACGCCTGTATGATTTGTCATCATCAATATGAGAATATTATCTTTGCTATCGACAATCGTTATCGATCTTGTAAAAACGAATAAAAAAATATTAACTTATCAGTTTTATATATATATATGCATACACACATGTATATGTATATGTATTCGTTCTATATATATTTTTCCTGTTAATTTTATTACGAAAGTATTTGATGTATGACGTTCGTCGTTGAACATACTTCGTTTCAGGTGATTATTTGCTAAAATATAGGGGGACACGTTAAAGGCTACGAAGACAAAGAGATACAAAGAGCATAGATTCGACACGAGTTCGCGATCCCGTTATCCTGGGAGCAACGCGGAGAAACATTTTCAGGTGATCGAGGTACTCCTCGGTCGCCAGAGCTCTTCAATGTTGCTATGCTACCTTTTACAGTCGAGTGATCACGATATCTCGAATCGAAGGATCGTTGTATGTACAATATACACGTGCAACAACAATATTGATCAGAATGTAATAATTTTAAAAGGAATTTCATAATAATTTTTTATTTCAAAATGTAAGAACAACTAGTGATAGTAGAGGTGAGTGATAATATACCATTGCGATCACGATGTTGAGGAATATATTTTAAGATTGTTTAGTTTTTCTTGCATGAATGTTTAGCTTTAATCGCAAAACGTTTAACAAGATATGCGTCTATTATAAGGGTTTTTGCTTCCAGAGGTAGTAAGGCGTTAACAAGTAGGTCAGACACGAAATATTGGATTAGTGCAGGCCACGGTCCTTCGATACAATTTTCTTTATACAAATCACTCGCTAATGCGAGTTGTTCAACAAATTTATTTTTATTTATTTTTTTCTTCTTTGATTTCGATAGATTTTTGCTATATCAGAATGTTTGAATGAAACATTTAATCATTTAATAAATCGAACAGAATTATTGCATTGTTGTCCTTTGTTTTTGTAGGAATTTAATTTAATGACTAAATATGTATGTACTTACAAGTGTCTTGGTAATGATCTTTAATTTAACTTTATTTCACGATCTGATTATCTTGTGTTCGTCAGTAAGAGTTACGATCATCGATAAATTATATCTGTGATAACAGAAAGTATTGTAATGCAAAGTAACGAATTGCATGTTTGAACGTCAACTTCTACGAGCGTTTGATGTCTTGTATATACAAGAGACTGTGGTCTATCTGAGGTCAAGAACCTGATACTACACTCTATCTCAAAATACATGTGTCACCTATATAGTAGCTTTGCTAATATTTTATATCGTAACTTGTAAATATTATGTTCTAGTCGTATTATGTATTTAAACAATTTTTAAATATATACTGAAAAATATGTCTGAGTATTTTTATGTATGTACCTTAAATTATATGACATATATACAGTAACTAACTAAGGTACAGGTACTTTTATACTTACATTATGAAATTTCAATCGCGATATTTTATTTTAAATGAATTTATCTTCCTTTTTTTCCTTTTTAGGATAAAAGTTAAATTTACTTTTATATATGTATAATTTGTACAATGTTTTTGCAGTATCCAATAACAATACTTTATGATCCAACTCGCAAGAAAGAATTACCATCAGGAGTATCTACACAGTATGGGCAAGAAAGGGAAGTGTGTATGAAGCTTTTTGAGAAGTGGAGTGAACCAGAACAAGTTAACTTTGTTGAACACTTATTAGCAAGAATGTGTCACTATCAGCATGGACACATCAATGCATATTTGAAACCAATGTTGCAGAGAGATTTTATTTCTCTATTACCAAGTGAGTAGTTTTATTTTCTTCAGATACTGAAATACATTGCAGAATGTTTCATAAAATGTATTTTTGTTATTAGAAAAAGGATTGGATCATGTGGCAGAAAGCATTCTTTCCTATCTGGATGCTAATTCATTAATTGCTGCTGAATTAGTATGTAAAGAATGGCACAGAGTAATTAGCGAAGGAATGCTTTGGAAGAAATTAATTGAACGTAAAGTTCGGACTGATTCAGTGTGGAGGGGACTTGCAGAAAGGAGAGGATGGTTAGTTAACACTTACTACGAAATTTAATTTCATGATATCTATTGATATATTCATTTTTTCAGGATTCAGTATTTATTCAAACCAAGACCAGGAGAAAGCCACCCAAATCACAATTTTTATAGATCTCTTTACCCTAAAATAGTTAAAGATATTGATAGTATAGACAGTAATTGGAGAATGGGAAGATTTAATCTTCAAAGAATAAACTGTAGAAGTGAAAATTCAAAAGGTGTTTACTGTTTGCAATATGATGATCAAAAAATAGTCTCTGGTCTTAGAGACAATACAATTAAAATCTGGGACAGAAGTACACTACAGTGCATTAAAGTCTTAACAGGCCATACTGGTTCTGTCCTATGTTTACAGTATGATGACAAAGCAATAATATCTGGTTCCTCTGATAGCACTGTAAGAGTTTGGGATGCTAATACTGGAGAAATGGTTAACACATTAATACATCACTGTGAAGCAGTTCTACATCTCAGATTTAATAATGGCATGATGGTCACTTGTTCAAAGGTTAACCACATTTTCTTATACTTTTATTTCATATTTTAATGTATCTTGCGCGATTATATGAACTGAGAAGAATAATATTATTTATTAATTGTAACTAGGATCGTTCAATTGCTGTATGGGATATGACATCACAAACGGAAATTGCATTAAGAAGGGTACTAGTGGGGCATAGGGCAGCAGTGAATGTTGTTGATTTTGATGAAAAATATATCGTTTCTGCTAGTGGTGATAGGACTATTAAAGTATGGAAAACATCTTCTTGCGAATTTGTGCGAACATTAAATGGACATAAACGGGGTATAGCGTGTTTGCAATATAAGGACTGCTTAGTAGTTAGTGGCAGCAGTGATAACACAATCAGATTATGGGATATTGAATGTGGTGCGTGCTTGCGTGTCCTAGAAGGGCATGAAGAATTGGTCAGATGTATTAGATTTGATAGCAAGCACATAGTTAGTGGAGCTTATGATGGGTGAGTGTAAAGTATATGTATTCTTATATCCTACTTTGTATTATTACATTAATATTATCCTTATTTCTTTATGTTACAGAAAGATTAAAGTATGGGATTTGGTAGCAGCGTTAGATCCACGAGCTTTAACTAATTCACTTTGTATACGTACATTAGTGGTGAGATATTTTATATATTTTATGTTTATGTTATGTATAATACTAATGATACACATATATTTGCTATGTAGGAACACACAGGACGTGTATTTCGCCTTCAGTTTGATGAGTTCCAGATAGTATCGTCATCGCATGATGATACAATACTAATTTGGGATTTTCTAAATTTTAATCCATCAAATGGATCTTCTGGGCCTGCAGCAATAAATGCATCAGGTGTGAATCAATCTGATACTAGATCTCCATCTCGTAAGTACGATAGGAAAGTATTTTGTTTTATATACTTGATATTTTCTAACATGATAAATAATTTTTTACAGCATTCGAGTGACCCATCCCTATGAATATTCCTTCATTGTGATATAATTGTAAGTATAATATATTGTTCAAGATAGTATGTATAAAGTGTATGCTTATATATTTGTATTTTTTTTTTTATTTCTTATGAAATTATAAAACATCCCTTGTTTATCATTATACTTAATAGAGTACGTTTAATTCATATGTTTATTTCAGACAAGTGGTTAGTGAGTTCAATGTGTTCACGATAGTGTACGCAGAGAATGAAGAATCAGTGTCCAGTGTGAACAGCGCCTAGAAAGAAACAGAATCTCAAAAAGACACGGTCATTGATTTTTGTTTATTATTTGCTGTGAAAAGCAAAAGTAATTCTCTAAAATAAGATATATGGGGTGACACGTAAAACTACGAATTAATTTATACGCGCTTGACGCACTGCGTTTAGTAACGAACAGTATAATTAAAATCACATAAATACATCCCATGGATGTAAATAATTGTTTGCTTTGGCCATATCTGGAATTCTTCTACGCTCTATGACATGATAGAAGTTGACCACTTTCCTACTACTATGAAAAAAAGACTTACAATACGTAAACAAAATGAAAACGTTTTTAGGGAGGCTGGATACACTTAATAAGATGTTAGCTGTATTATAGTAAATTAATGATTTTTTTTTTAATGTAATTAATTTGTAGTAAGAAGATTGTAAAATGTCGTTTGATTGGAGTACTTATCCGGTGTGAATGTGGAAACTAAGGTCTTGATATGTGGGAGGATTATTATAACTTTCATGCTTCGTTATCTTCTAAATCTAGCTATGTGAATTACTATATCCATATTTAGCATTATAGATGTACAGCCGTTAATCGAAAACATAGCAGTTTCCATGGACATTAATTTTATGAAATTCATATTATATATTGAAAAGTAAACGAAAAGCTAATAACCTCTGCACAGTCATTGATACAATACCATTTGCATTTAAAATATAAATTTTCATTTTATCAAGATGTAAATATTGATTCATATAAAAGCAATATAGTGACTCTGAGGTAATTTTAGCTGCTGTGAAGGAACTATTATGTTTTGACTAATGATCTCGGATAGATCATATTTTTTAATTTTTGTTTAAGCAACGATAGTCACATCTTTTCAATTATAAATTATAAGTGTGTTTTGAACAATATTATATGAGTTGAAATATATAATTGTCATTTTCGAGATTTTAAAAATGCAATCGAAGATATTATTTTTATTCCTACGGTTAGTAGTAGCATTAAAAAGTATGTTTACTTATTGGTCTACCAAACAATAAAGTAAACACGATATAAATTCTCAAAATTGTCACAAAATATGATAATATATATACATATATATATTTCGGTAAATACTGCGAAAGTGGTTCGAATATTTTGACCACATTAAAAAATTCGAAGCAAAGCTTATGAGTACGTAATTCTTGATATTAATTTCAGTACATGTACTTTAAATTTTACACAACATAGATTTTGCATATGAATTAAATTGTGAATACGTGCTAAAACAAAGGAAAGAAATTAACTATCACAGATAAGATACGTGAAGTTACTTCACTTTTGCATTACATAAGTAACAGATAGTATTAAGTAGTACTTGTACATTATTCTAATAATATAAAAATTTTTACATTGAAGGTAAAAAAAAATAATGCAAAATTGTAAACAATATGTAGTCAAATCGGGTACAAAGAATTGTGATTTTTAAGCTAGAATGATGGCATGAAAAATTTTCTATAACTTTATGGTATGTATATATGGGACTCCAGTGCAAACATTACTTTTGTAGTATGCAGCATGTTCTGAATTCATAAAATACTTTAATGAAGAAAATAGCATAATAGTAATTGTGGCAGGTATTAACATAATCTCTTTGTAAGCACACTTCATTATATTACAGCTATCTAAATACGTACATACATAGGTAGTGAAATTATATATTGCTGTTTCTTGCATTCCATAATGGAATGTAAAAATATACGTATATATTTTTATGGTGTTGAATATTTGTGGATATAAAGTACAAAAGACCTGAGATATTTAATTCAATTTAAAATTTTCAAAATGACCGACGTGTTTAAAACATAACTTAGTTTTGATCATAATTTGGATGTTACATATACTACCCGAAATAATGCTATGAAAGAAGTATCTTTAAGAGAACATTGTGATGTTTATTGTTAATATTAACATAAAGGTTCATGTATGAAATTAATTACACAAGAATAATATGAAGGCTGTGGAAAAGCTATACTTGAAATACAATACCTATGCAAGAAGATACAATTTTAATGGAAAAAAATATCCATCATTATCCCTTGAATTTAATACATTTTTAACAGTTCGAGTGCAATTAAAACAAAATTTGTTCTGAAGATTAAGTACTTTAATGTACAGTGTACAAAAAGTTTACTATCAACATATATATTATATTAGTATTAATGATCAAAGCTTTTATGTGTTGATAAAATTAATACTTGAATTTCAAGTTTAGGTAATATTTGCAATATTTTTAATTGATTTATTATATGCATTTAATTATCTTTTTCTTTAGAACCTGTATTGCACGGTACAGTTCCTGATACACTTTAACAGATTATTACAATTTGCATTATTCCACGTTTGAATAAATTGTACATATAACAAAATTTATCTAAATATTGGTGACAGTATTGTAACACACATATGTACAAAATTATAAGAAAATGTATTTAAAATTTTAAAGTTAATGTATACCTTTTCTATTTAATAAGATGGAATAATGCATGATTTTGTCAGAGATAAAGTTTTACAATATATTATAAATATTTACGAATTACTTTGGCAAGCAAGAAGGCCCCAATCTGAATGTTATATTCTCATTTTATTATTTATATAGCATTATGTATCATCATGCACAGTGCTATATAGTATACAAAAGATAGATGCATAGTCATTCATCATTAATGTCAATCACTTATTATCCAAACCCAATTGATCTTTTTAATATAGTTAAACTGTCATAAACAGTTCGAACCTCAAGTATTTTGAAAACAAATGTGATGAATACCAAATTATTTATGTATAATTTTGGTATAAGAAACAGTATTTTTTATTTTTATAATAAAAAATTTGACAAATATTTAAAAATTTATTGAATGAAATATATTTAAAAAATAAAGCAATGGAATTACCACGTTTACCGATGACTATACATTTAATAAAGCCTCAATTTATTTGTGTGTAAATTACAAACAATTTTTCATAAAAATATCACGTAGGAAATTCAGTTTTGTATTTGTTCTTTTTTCTTAAAGGAAAGAAATAAAATTTTTTGTCCGCGTTATACTTGCTTTTTATTATTACTCTTGCACCATATAAACAAAAATCTAATTTTGATTGTTTACAATCAGTAATGAATAAAGACAGTGATTAATAACTAGCGTTCTCGAAGTAACGTAGCTCGTTAAAGAATAAAATCTAATTAAACACGTTCCAGTTTAATTTAATATTATCATCCACATTTTTTATCATTCAAATAGTGAAGACGCGGCTTAACTATCCCTCCATCTTTATCCGTTAAACGGTATGATAATTTTTTTTTGTTAATAAAGGTGGCGTTGTTGATGCTTCCGACATAGAAAACGTCGCTTCTACATAACATGTTGTGGCAGTCGAGATTAAAGCATGTGATCCTGCCTTCATTGTAGATAATACGAAGCTGCGAAAATGGCGGATGAACAGGTGAGTTACCGATCAAAATAACGTGCAAACCTCAAAATGCGGCGGAGTTATTTATAATGAAGTGATTTCAAAAATCGTGTAGTAAGCCAGCCGGTGGTAAATCTGTTGCAAGTTATGTGGTATGGACGTGTATCCCGAACATTTTGCTGCCGGGAAACTTAAGTATTCTTGGAAGCTACGTTGTTTGTTGCCGGACCACTGTGATTATTTTGTCGCGCTGTCAATGAAAATGCAGTTATAAACTGAAAGATTTTCCAGTCTTTGCTTTACTGACATCTTCTTGTACAAATAAAACCGTGTTGCCGATGTGTAAAACTTTAACCTTGCTTCGTGAATAGTATTTTGTGTAGATACAATTCTAATGTTTCGGAAGATAATTAACGGATGAAAATATCATCTAAATCGTGAATTTTATGTTTAAATATTGACATTTGACAAAAGTTCTAATTATTCTCGGTGTATTTCTATTAATTATTATTTAAAACCACTAAAAAAATAAGGCATAACCTATCTCAATCTATTTTGCAACATAAACTATAATGTTTTTTCTGCTACTGTAGTATGTTAGATTGTTGTTTATCTGACATTCGTTAAAAATGTGCATTTTATTAATCGTAGTCTTACTATTGAATTAAAAATAATACGGAATATTTTTGAGTTGTATTTGTAATATTTGAATCAAGTGTTTGTTTTAAAAATACAATTAATCAACACTTGTTATTTACAAAATATAAATTGCGTAACCTCAAAATGTTCTTTAAGTACTAGAAACATTAATTATTGCTGTGTTTTATAATCAAAAAATAGAAAATATTGTTGTATTATCATTTAATTTTTACCAATCAGTTAAAGAAATGAAAACATTTTAAAAGGGATTTGTGATTACTGTATTTATTTATACTGTTATAAATAAATACAGTAATATCTTAAGAATATGAATAGATAGTAATTAGCTTAAAGTAGTTCTGTTTGTATAGTTTAACGCATTTTTAAAAGTTTACAGTTATATTATTTTTTTTTTCTCTCTATAAATATTAATTGTATTTCAAAATATTATAATAAGGAGGTAATAGGGAAAGCACATTATCGTGAATGTTGTTTATTTCTTTTAATGTTAATGTATAACTGAAAAATATACATTTAGAAAATATGTAATCCTTAATTTTTATACTTCTTAAATAAATAACATTATACTTTATTAATTATAAAATGAACAGTACTTGCAACAAATAATTAAATCTATTAAAGACTCAGAAAAGTGAAGCAATGGTTTTGAAGTTTATAGACTTAAAATACCTAAATGGAAACATTGAAATCTATGAATTGTGTTACTAAGAATGGATCACATACAGGAAGTACGGCAGCTGG